TAAAGAAATTTAACGAGCCCATTTAACTGAATCATGAATGATATGCAAATTAACTGATGGAATAGAAATAATTAATTAAGTTTCTGTAACAGTTTATAAAGTTTTCTAGTTCAGCATTAAACAGTTCACTATCGAGCTCCGTGTTATCATCAAAACTGTCCACCGCAATTCTTAAGTATTCGTCCGTCGATGAGGATGAATGTAGATCTGGTGAAGAAGGGTCCGATTCAACAGTCACTAAATCCATGGGAGTTTCTTGAATAGTAGGGCCAAATGTTCACCGACTTTGTAGTCCGGGACAATCGGGTTCAACGCCGAGCCAGAAACCGCTTGAGGCTCATCTACAACATCTATGAAATATCTCTTACCACAGAATTTTGGCGGATCTGCATTTCTATTACACCGGCGTACAAGTGGTTTATTACCGGGTCTAGGTGGAGACTTAGGTAAAGGCAAAGCCTCGTCAGATGAGTCCACAATCTCGTAGATCGGGAAGTCCGGTGGAGAGTCTTCCTCTACTGGTGTAGCCGAGTTGTTTTTCGGGTCCATTTCTGTGTGGCAATGGTAGACTCCGCCGGAAAGATGCTGATTGGGCACTGTGTTTCATTAATAGACTCTGCCGGGATGATGCTGATTGGGCACTGTGTTGATAGAAGCTCGTCGTGAAGGTCACCTTCTAAAATCTCAACCTTACTGTTATGATTTGTTTCGCGAGAGTTATTAGTATTGTCGTCATGTTTTAAATTGTTAATGGAATCGGAAATAATTTGCTCCCTCACTACGTCTCTATACGGGAAACCTCCCGCGATCCATTCCCAATCGCTGATATCGGAAGTATCCGAGGAAATAATCATAGACTCGTCCGAAGCAAGGTAACCTGGTATAATTGTTCACTTTTTAGATCGAAACGGGTTGTCTTCAAGATGGCTTTATAGAAGGTCTTGATACTCGTGTCCTAGTATTGTTATCTGAGGATCCCAATTCCACATGTTTTCTAGTCCTCGGTTGTTGTTTTCGGGTTTTATTTTCTCTCCAGATTTTCTCGCGTTTCTGACTTACTTCAACATCATGGTTGGAAAAGTAAGGGAATGATATGTTGCCTTTAAAACAATGGATTTTTGAAGAGTTTGATTGAGGAATGGCAATATCTGATTTTCTGATTATTTGACCATCGGATAATCCTACGATCGTACTAGAGGTGTTTATGATTTTTTTGTTTAGCTCCTTATAAAACGGGTTTCCATTGATGCTCTCATTTGTTTTCCGAAGGATTTTACCTTTAAATGGACTTTGAAGAGGTGTTCTAGAGGAGGATCGTTTTGATGTGGATGCATATTCTGTATCGTAATCCTTCTCTGCCGGAGTCAAGTTCTTCTTTGGGATCAGCGTATCTTTATACCCAACTTCCACTCTGTCGTTCGCATTCCAGTCCTTTGGTCTTTCCTGAGAAAGTATTGATTTTCCTTTGTCTAACATTCCATTGGACGGTTTACCGGAAGCCAGTTGTTTCCAAATAGTATTTGGTTTTCTATTAAAAAGTATTTCGAAAGGAGAGCATTTGAATTTTGATTGGTACGAAGATCGAAGGTTGCAGATAACTTTTGATACAGCGTCTTGTAATTTACATTTTTGGGCTTCTTGGGCCATAGTCAATAGTTTTATTTTTACAGTATGTACAAGTTTCTCCGCTAATCCGTTGGAGCGATGGTCTCCTACTGTACAAAATATTAATTTGATTTTGTTTGAATCGCAAAATAATTTAAAATCCTGGCCTGTGAAACAAGATGTGTAATTGAGTAAGATATGCCGTGAAGAAAATGTAACCTTGAAGAAATTTTATAATGTTTTTGACGATGTAGAAGATGTAATTTTCGCCGAAGGAAATTTTGAAAGTCGATCGATGCAAAGTAGGATATATTTATTAAGTCCCCAGTGTGAATCCGAAGGACCGGCGAAGTCTAGATTGAGTTCTTCGTTAGATTCCAGTGAGGGGGGAATTATACTTTTCAAATTCTTACCCGTCTTTGTACATTCTGAGCATTTTATGTCATGAAATTAAATCTGTCTGTTAATATGGGGCCACCAGATGTATTGGGCCAAGTACTTCATTCCAAATTGACAGGGATGTGTTTCATGGAAAGTTTTTATCATTGCATTTCTCAGGGTAAAATGTATTACTAATTTATCGTCCATATAAAGTAATCCGTCGGATTCGTGTAAATGCCTTGCAAAGTGTTTGAAGTAAGTTGAACTTGCGTTAATCGTCTCAACTTTGTTTTGAAGTGCTTCTACGATTGGCCTCAACATAGGGTCATCTTCAGTTAGGAGAGCTACTAGTTTGGCGTTGAATAAAGTATTTAAATCCTAAGGACGTTTGAGCAACTTCAAATTTTCACTGTATTTATTTACAAGTTTCGCGTGGTCGGATAGCAATGGGAAATCTAGGGATAATTGAATAACGGAAGTGAAGGCTTTAATTACAATTTTTTCATTTTCCATATTAACAGTATTTACAATTTTCAATCTACAGCGGAATTAATTATGCTACAATTAAGAAATAAGAAATATAAAACTGCAGAAATAAAAATAGAGATGGTTAAAGAATTAGTGTTTGAATAATAGGAGGGAATACATTTCGAAGTACAATTTTCAGTTCGATTGTGATTTGATTGATGAGCAAATTGGGAAAGTCGAGTTAATCAGTTTTAATACTGAAGCTAAAAGGTAATTACATAATCTTGCATAATCGGATATTTCCACTTTTGAACCAATTGCAGAGCATGTCTTTCTTTGTTTTTCCGATGGATTATTGATTTTTTTTAAATTATATTCGCGACTACAAATTATTCTTCATAATGTGATGGGGGTAGTGCTTTTCCATAAGAAATTCTTGAAATTAATTCGTTGAATCCCATGTTTTTTCCTGCAAGGTGTTAAATTTAAAATTAAATGGTAGTAACCGGTCAACCCATATTGTTACTCTGCTGTGGCAAGTTTTATTCCCGTGGTTTGTTGATAGGGAAGAAAGTAGAGCTTTATGATCTGTAATTACTTCGAAGTCTGATCCATAAAAGTAATTTTTATCATGTTCTACAGCCCAGACTACTCCCAAAAGTTCTAATTCGTTAGTTGAATTTTGCTACTCATGACGGTTTAAAAACCGAGAGTCAAATCAAATCGTTTTCCAATCATTCACGTGGGGTTCTTCTAGGGAAGCTTCTAATCCGTTATGTGATGCGTCAGTTTTTATTCTGGTTTTACGTTTTACGCCGAAATGTGTTTTTTCTGTAAGATTGATAAACTCTTGTTTGATTTTCTCGAAAGCTTTTGTATGAACAAAGCTCCAATGGAAAAAAGATTTCTTTATTAACACAGGTCGAAGCGGGCTTTCTAAGGATACTAGATTTGGCACAAATTTAATGTATTGGTTTATGGAACCGAAAAATGATCTTAGCTCCTTCAGATTTTTTTGGAATGGGTAAGTCCTTTACTGCTTTCCTTTGGTCGAATAATGGTGAAATTCCAGTATTTGAGATTTTGAATCCCAGCCATTTGATTTCTTTTTGAAATAATTTGCATTTTGACTATTTAACAGCGAAATTGTAGTCGTATAACGTTGATAAGATTTTACACAATGTTTTTGTGGTCTAAAAATACTTCTTTTGGATGCAATTAAAATGTCATCTAAATAACAATTTGTAAAAGGGATCGTAGCTAGCGTAGAGTCCATGACTCTTTGAAATTCGCTAGGCATATCTCCTAGGCCGTAAAAGCCAGTTAAGAACTGATATTTTTCAGTAATATCGCCGCCTACTGTACCAAAAATACACTGGTTACTAGTAAATTTGTAGTAAATACACTGGTAAGGCGAGTTGGCTATATGCATTTTTCAAATCCAAATTTGTAAACCAAACTTGTAAACCATATTTTATCCTGCTGGCTGCGCCATGATAAAATGTTTTTTGTTGTAGCTAAACCTACTTTATACAATCAAAAGAATAAAAAGATAAAAGTGAGTTAGTCTAAAGTTGAAACATTTAAATGTGAAGAGAGCATTCTCTCCGCCGGAGAGAATGAAACAGTGAAGGTCATATGTAAGTGACCTGTTAGAATGGTTAGGTAATCATTCGCTAATTAAGATATGAAAATTTGAATCACATCAAATTACAAGGTACATATACTTCACAGTTGATTTTTGTTGACATTGTGTAAAATAAAATGGAGATCTCAAATTTTGTTTAAATATATCTTTTGGCAAAAAACCACTGCGAGAAGCCTTTCATCCCAAAGCCTTGAAGTGATCCATCAGACACTAATGGTTTGTGGTAAGTCATGCAAGAGTTGCATTCTCTGACAAGACTGCTCTAAAAATAAACAAGACTGCTCGTATCAGGGCGAAGCCCTGAATGTTCCTACTGCCTATTAAGTTTATGGAGCAGTAATCACAAAAAAATTGAATGTAATAAAACAAATTAAAACGTTTTTTTCTGAAATTTGAAGTTTTTCTGAAAATCATCCCCCCACACGCCATATAAAGAATAAAAGAATAGATTTCGCTGCTAGTAACAATCAATTATGGCAAATAAGCTTATTTCAACCAATTTGGAACGATTTCTAGAACGGATTAAATCTCCGATTACGCGTTAAACGCGCAAAATATATCGCGCGTTAATTGTCCCAAATTGGCCAAAATGCCAATCTTTAAACCCCCATAACTTTGCGAAAAATGATCACAGGTGAAATATCCTTTCAAATTCAAGCTCAGGACAACAATAACTTTTTAGCGATATAAAAAAATTCCGTCAAAAATGGCTAGTTAAAAAGTCGAAATTTGTCTGAAGAAAAAGAAAAACCCACCCCGAGCACAAATATTCCGTTAATTTCGTATCGAAAGTCGGAACAATAAACCATGCAATTAGAATGACATTATTTGAAATACTACAACTTAATAGTACAAACTAATGTCTCATACTGGAACGGCTTGGATGAAAAAGTTATGTCTGAAAAAATAAACTTTAATGAACAAAATTAATGTATGTACAGATTGGAATTAATTCACTCTTGTCAGATGCGCTTTTGGAGTTGGAAGCTTCGCGCGCTGTGCTCAAGTTTAAATCATTCGGTGGAGTCTTTTCAACTGAAATGCCTTGTTAGTACAAATCACAATCACCCAACGGTACCAAGTGAACGCTGTTTTATCAGAATCAAACATCAAAATGGCAAGGAAACAGAAAAATATGGAAACAAGTTAGCTAAAATTGAAGTCATTCTAAACATTTCCTGCTTTTCGTTTCGTTTGAGTTTGCTTTTGATTGTTCAAAACTAGCGATTGTATCTCAATGGTGATTGGCTGTGTTTGGACTGCTCGCTCTGATTGGCTGTTGCACGTTCACGTCGTCGCTGCTGCCGCCGTGACTTTTATTTGAAAGACTGGTGTCCAAGGCACCGTTCATTTGTTGATTTTTGGTAATTATAGGCACCAGGTTGTGGAGTTTGATTGAGGTCATCGCAGATGATGATGCTCTCCGGATCGTCTGGCGGAACTTATGAGAGTTCCAGGCCTTTTGGATCCTCTTGGCAGCATGATCTTCCTGCTTTCGCTTGAAAGTATCCGATTTGGGCACTTGGGTTTTTAAAGTGGGGAATGCTTCCATGAATTTCTCTTCAACCTTGTCTGTTAGTTCTTTAAGCGCGTCTGCAGAATCATAAGCTTCGGATTTCAACACGTATCGAATCAGCTGCTTCAGTATATCGAGGCAATGGACGTTTTCTTCGTCGTTAATCACGAGCTTCAAGTTGACAATTTTGATCGCGTTTGGCTTTTCTATCCTGAAAGGCGGGTCGAGGTCGTCCAAGAAATCGGGCAGGGTCAAATAGTGAATAAACTCAGTGGCCATAGGGTCATAACGTTGCCAAATTTGGTAAAACGCTTCCATATCATCCTCAGTGATCCCGATCTCTTCCTGTTGATGAGCGTTGTTGAAATTCTCCAAAATGATTGCAATGTACATGTTGATGATGATCAAGAAGTTAACCAGTAGAAAACTGACCATATATGGAATGGCTATGTACATTAACCCGCAGTCACCCCTAAGACCAGCGTTTTTCAACTTTGGGTCGCACCCTCCGTTTTCGTCAATCATCAGGGCGTCCAAGATATCGTTCCAGCCTCCGGAAGTCATAAGTCGAAACAGGAGAATCATGGAGTTGAAAAATGTCTCGAAGTTGACTTTGTCATTTATCATTCCGTTGTGTTTTGTATAGCCGAAAAGAGACATTCCTATCAAAGCGTAAATAAACAACATCAGTCCCAGCAGACATCCAATGTTGAATAGGGCAGGAATGGAGATTAAAAAGGCGAACAGAAGCTTCCGAATGCCTTTGGCCGCTTTAATGAGTCTGAGAACCCGCCCTATTCGGAACAGTCGCACTACTCGTAGTGTTCCTGGTTTGATGTACACAGTATTCGTTTCAATCATGGCCTCCAAGATTATGTCTAAAGCAAAAATTGCGTTCATGTATTGACAAAAGCCACGATTCTTGTCGACTGTTTCATGACTTAAAATTTCCACACCCTATCAAAAATCAATGAAAAAACGTTACCGACAGCTTGGCCCGCAACAGACTCAAGTTTTTATCTTCATACTCAAGTTTCCGATGAATATGAAATAAAAGCTTTCGCAAACGAAACTTTTTCTGTGGAGAATTCTTTGTTTTTTTTATCGATCAGAAGTGGCATTTTTTAACCTTATTTCTTCAATTGCCAAAAACGTTTGTCTTTAAGTTAAACTAATTTTTGAAAAAGTAGAAAAAAAATTCATAGAAATTTAAAAAAGCTTTTTAGGTGAGGAAGTATCACATTATTACCAGGAAGGAGCCGTTTCTAATTTTTTTTTGCTGTTTAATTTCAGGTCAACCTAAGGCAAAAATTTTTACTTAATTATGGGCTTTTTGTTTACCTAATTATTTTATTTATTTAATTATGAGCTGAAAAAAAACGTAGAACAATTTTTCCCACTTCCTGGTCATTTCAAACTGATTGGTTTACTATCCACATTTGACTGAGACTTAAGTTAATCCAAGCGAAACGGAGAGATAAATACGAACCTGCAATCGACACAATGACAATGAAGAAATCGAACAGGTTCCAGCCATACATGAAGTACTGTTGTCTCAGTCCCACTATCTTCACAGCCGCTTCCAGAGTGTAGATGGTGGTGAACATGATATTGAGGCAGAACAGAGTGTACACCCAGGAGTCCTGCATCTCGTAGTGGTCGAAGGCCATAGTGCACATGTTGCACAGGATCACAACTGCGATTGAGATCTCAAACTTGGTCGACGTCGAGATGTCGAAGAAGAAGGCCATCACTTTGTTCTAGAACATTCCCATCCGAAATTACCACGTCACTTTACAAAATTATAAGCTTTAGATGATCTGGAGAGTGTGTTTCTGGGGTTGTGACGGGTTCTGTCTTGTGTGTACTGCATAAGAAGGAACCTTTGATTGATTTATATATCAAACTGCAACATTACTGGATGGAGAAATGAATATACGTTTGCTATATTTTTGAGCGTAAGAATTGAATTGTATATATTGCATTCAGGGGGTGAATCTAAGGTTTTTTCTAGGGGAGAGGCAGAATTTAAAAAATCATTCGAAGATTTTGTCGACTATTTTATAGGCGAACCAAATTGATTCTCCAAAATTTTTTCGAAAACATATATAAAACTTGCCAAAATTATTTTGGGTCACGACAGCTTGTCTGAACGATTTTTTCTCCAAGTTTTATCATTTTCTTTGCAACTATTTAGGATAATGTGTTAAAATTTTAACGTCTGCTAGGTGAATTCATTCAAAAGGAACTAGCCGGATCCAATTTTGAGAAGTCTTCTTTTGAAGGCATAAAATAGCCAGTATATCATAACAAGTTACAGATGTGTTCATGCTGAGGAAAGACCCTCGCAACCCAAGTAACTGTAACTTTTTCAAACTGTTTGTATGTCGTATTTTTTGCGCAGCATAAGGAGTAAGTTAAGCTCAGCATCAATTTTCCAAAAAAAATTGATATGAGCCCATAAATTCAAATTTTTTGTAATATTTGCGAGGATTTTTCCACGGCAACAATAACTCTGAAATCAGTTTCAATATATTGACTATGTTACGCCTTCAAAATAAAACTTTTTAAAAAATTTTGAAATGGCAATCCTTCCAAACGAATGATTTCATCCAGCAGGTGTAAAAATTTCAACCTTATATTTTAAATAGCTGCAAAAAAAATGACAAAAAGGTGAAGTAAATCAAAAAATTGCATTTTCTGTCCTATGATCAATCATTATGCAAGCGCAGTGCATGATGCATTGGTACGCAAACTTTGTGTTTCTGGAACCAAACTTTGAATTACAGGTCGTGAATTGAAATCGTTTTAAATACAAATCCTTCGTACCGAGCTCTAAACAATTGAAAAAAAAACATCAATGAAAACAAAAATAAAACTGAAGGTGACTTTTTAAACAAAAGATCAAAATAAAAAGCAAAATAAAATAATCAAGATGAAACTACTTTTTGTTAGGCATTGCTTTCACAAATTTAGAGAGCTAGTCTGATAGAAAATGAAAAAAAAAACAGTTGACAGAGAATATATATTATCGAAAATGACCTCTTCGTCTCACTCACCTTTGGCCTTTTGACAGTCTTCTGTGGTTTGCGGGCAGCGAGTCTCTTCAGAGTCTGGTAGTAGTTCTTCTGAGAAGGAGTCAACATTACATCCACCGCACCCTCTCCATCGTACTGGAAGAAGAAAAGAGAAAACATTAAAATCAAAGGTCAAGCAAGGTCACCATCTAGCAGAAATGAACAACTTTTTAAATATTCAATCAAGCAGGATTAAAAACATACGAAGCCTGAAAACAATAAATGTCGAGTATGATCAGGCAGGATTAAAAAGTGTGTTAATAACACCATAACCCGCTACTTTGAAAAAGCGGAAAGAAGTTAATGCGTATATGCAGAGAGGTAGAGATTTAGTTAATAGAGAGTAAGTTAATAGGGGGGTTAGTACTCGTTTTTTGAGGGTGTTGAAGTTGTCGATGATGACTCCGATGAATAGGTTGAGAGTGAAGAATGAGCCACAGATGATGAAGAAGACGAAGTAGATGGAGGAAATGAGGAGGTTGCTCTCATAGCAAGGCTGTTTGTCCATGTCTGTGGCGTCTGCAGCCGCCGCCATCACCTCCATCCAACCCTCAAACGTCGCCTACAGCCCCACCACCAAACAGTCTAGTTAGTTTTTAGCAAATAAGTTAGTAACTAAGTCAAATTAATTAAATTAGACATATAAAACAAAATAGTTAATAGTTTTACTAGTGTGATATTAATGAGTTAAAAGGCGAGTTATAGGAAACGATATCATTCAAATGAAGTAAAAAAGATCACAGAAATTGAGTTAAACGTCTGCAACTAATAATGATGTTAGTTTGATACAGTTAGTTTGTTGTGAAAAATTGTTGGTGAATCGAATCGCCATCATGGATAAATCAAACAAAAAATATCACCAAACTTCTGTGACATTGTTGAAGTTCCCAATATTTCAGTTACTAATATTAATTAGTTGAAAAGTTTGTTGTAACCTTTAATTGCACAATAACAAAAATTAAACCAATTCAAAGAAACAACACAGTAAATCTGCATCAGACATTTAGGAGGCTCCTGAAACACTTAAATATGCTAAACCCCAAAAAACTTTTTAGTTAAAGATGAAATAATTTCAGGGAATCAAAAAAATAATAAACAGAAAACAAAACATCTTGATATTCTTTGCAACAGTCAGCCTGCAAACGATGTTAATGCAATTTATTTATCAAAAGCAAATACATATGTTAAATCCCAAAATCAATCGAGGCTTTTATTTGATCAACAAGGCAATTGGGGTTATTATTAGCTTCCAGTCGGCGGCCAGTATAACTTTTTTGTAGCTCATTTTTTGTCATTTCGTTGATAACACCTTTCTGGGTTTCTTCGTGGTTAGACAGAGACCTCAACCATATGAAATTTTTTTGTAATCTGTGCAAATTTTAATTGTTTGTTTGAAAAGCCGGGTTAACTGATTGTTTGCATCAGCCGGGTCAACTGCTTCCAATCGTATGTTAGAAAGACACTCTTTTTCCATTCTTTTTTTTAACTCTGCAGCAATTCGCTCCCTCAAATGGTAAAACTCCCAAATGGCATTTAAATTTCAAAATCTCAAAAAATACATTAACAAAATTTCAGACTACTTTTGAACCCAGCTTTATTCAATTTCTGCTGTTTTTGATATCATTCGGCTTAATTAAATTTCAAATCAAAAGCAGTCAAATGTGGAGTTTTTGATAGCGTCTGAAGTTTTGGAAGCTTTTGTATTATTTTCTTAGTTTGATTTGTGGATTTTTGGTAGCATTTATTCAAAAAACATAGTCCACCAGTTTTGTGGTGAAAACTATTTACAATCATCTGGGAATTATATCAAATGAGATGCTCTGTTGGTTCCTATGCCCAAGAGGACTACCTGTCTTCTTAGGGTCTGGAAATTATCGATGATGACACCGATGATCAAATTGAGAGTGAAGAATGAGCCGCAGACGATGAAGATGACAAAGTAGGGGTAGATGAAGTACATCTGGTTCTCGGCACATGGCTGCTGGTCTACTTTTGTGGCATCTACCCCCGCCTCCATTACTTCCATCCAACCCTCGAAGGTCGCCTAGTCAGTCCACCAGTATACATTAGGCATAACTTTAAAACCATGGACGTATCCACTATCGTACCAAGTCTTTTGAAAACGCTCTTTTAGTAATGGATACTTACGTATCGCACACATTGTACGCTCAAACGAAGTTTTCTCGATCAAAACTTCACGAACAAAAAAGAGGGAAAGTGATATGCGGTCTTAGGGTTGGATAATGTATTATACTCAGCGGCGAATATTGAGACACAGGGTAAGGGGGGCATAGGAGACACCGGTAATTTCTTTTTTTTTGGTATCATTCTGCTACATCCATTTTCGAACAACTAAATTTTTTCCAATAGCGCGTAGGGAACAGATATAAGCTAAAATTTTAAGGGCGGAGGTTTTTTTTGGCTCAATAGTCAATAAAAGGCAGAAATTTTGAGGTAGGATCGAAAGTTTTGCGTAAAATGGGACTCTGTAGCGTTCCAGAAAATCTCACTAAATATGTCGACCAGAAAAAACTTGCACACTTCATGTTTGTTAATACGCAACTTATTGAACATCAGGTAATTTAAAAGTCCGTGGCAAAAAGATACTTTTTATTTATATTTCCTCTTAAAACAACAAAAACAAAAAAAAATACCAAATACCTGTGACAATGATGAATTTCTCATTTTTTCACTGGGTTAGAAGTTTACTTTAGCGCTAGTTGGAAATACGCTATTGCTTGGGCAATTTTTATGAAACATTGATAAACGAGTAAATTCAAAATTTCTACTATCCTAAATGATGCAGAAAGCTAACTTCATACACGGCGTTGGCGATTAGCGACCGCTTGCTCCGTTGCGCTTGCATTCGGCACAAGTGTTATTGTCCGCGTAAATCTTTGTTTTGCCGCTAATTTAGACTTTTGTTTTTTTGAAGCTGATGGTTTTGTTGACAAACCGTGAGATAATTTTCTTAATTAGGGAAGCTTGTCCCAAGACTGAGCCTCTTTTGTAAAAAACTTGCATAATTCAGTTTATTATGTTGGTCCGCTAAAGGAGTCATTTTTCACTTGTTATGCTAAAAGATTGGTCTGATAAACGATCGGTCTCCCACGAAAGTGAACATACTGGGACTAAAAGCATTCAACTATCAGTTAAGATTGTAACAAGGAACTTAACTTGTGAACTATGAATAAGTATTAGTAAATTCTCATGTTTTTAGACCATTTTTGTTCAGAAACTCTTTACCGCTTCCAATGTATAGCTATAAAATAGCAATTATTAAAGAATCAATTAAACTTTGAATATCGTACTTTTTTTGCTGCTTGACGACATTTAGATGATCTATTGACAACGAACTGAAAAAAAAACTCCTAAGAAAACAAAACATTTTCTTAAAATTTTTTTGAATTATTTTTTCTAAAACCTAGCGAATACCACAACAAATAGGTACACAGACTCAAAAAAAATTATATCATAATCATTGCAAGAAACTTGTTAATTGTTGCCCCCTATTTTGATTTTCAGACATTCAATTTTGGCTGCCACCTTTTCAAAAGTTTAAAACAACTTTCAGAAACTGTATTTTATTTTAAAAAATTTTATGTAGTTTTCAAATATATTTTGAGTAATACAAAAGCGAATGCGCGAAAATGAAAACCCAATTAATTGTTGACATTTTTGAAATGCATGATTTATACAGAAATTGCAGTCAAAAATAATACACGCATAAAGGGGGACGTAGTTAAAAAAATCCCATTGCAATTTCAAGAAAACAATGATTAAGATAACAATGAAGATATTTAAAACGAAGCGCAAAAAATACAATACATTTAATTTTCATGACAGAAAGTCCCTCGAATTAGTTTAAAAAATTTTCAATGCAAAGCTTGATGTTATAAAACAAAAAAATGCGAGCTATATTTTATGAATACAACTGTAAAAAATACTTGATGAACACAACTGAAGGGTACAACTGTTCTCAATAAGTTCCATAAATGATGGACGAAAATTGAGGGGTAACAATTTAGAGAATTCACAACGGGAGAAATCGAAACGACAAAAACAACTGAACACTTTACTTGTAAAAACAAGATTTAAATTAAAAAGTACAACGTTGAAACAAGTTTTGGTTAAAAAAATATAGGCTACTGAAGAAAAGCTATTGAACAACAAGTCATATATACCCGCACTCACTAAAAAGAGAAAATAATAGATTATAATGAATTTTTATTGTCAGTCTCCGTGAATTTCAAAAAAAAAAGAGATTGTAATCGATTAAAAATGGATTATAATGCTACTATGCTTGGAAACAAAAATTATAATCGATTATTTTTTGAAAAAATTGTTTCTGAAATTCTATTGAATTATAATCCATTTTAATCGATTATAATCTATTTTTATTCAGAAAGCGTCATCGCATCGCTTTATTTTGTTTTATTTTTTTTGCTTTGTGTGCTTTTCAGTTGGTTTCTTTCCTTACTGTTTACTGTTAACTTTCTTACTGTTTACTGCAAGGACGGATTTAGGGGGGGGGGGGGGGGGGGGTGGACGCCTTTTTTCAGTTCCCCCTTTGTATTGTTTTTAGATATCCATATTTTGTTAAAGACCCCTTGGCCTTTGGCGCCAATAAAACCTAATTTTGAGGGGGAGCGCGCACAAAAAACGCAATTTTTTGGTGAAACGTTTCCAAAAAAGGCCTAAAAAAGCCGTTTTGACCTGTTGCTTCAGAAGTTTGCCTGCGGTGCACCACACTTGGCCAACACAGGGTCTTTTAAGTGCTTTGGGAGAGCTTGGAAAACCAATTTCGTCGACTTAAAAAAAGGTCGATAAAATTTTTGAAAATCCGCCTCCACCCTTCGAGAAAATCTCATATCCGCTCCTGGTTCACTGATTTTTTAGTTCTTACTGATTTTTACTGTTTTTTTCAAGCAGAATAGCTAAATTATAATCCATCGTATTTCATTTTTCTTGTAAAGAAGATTTTGATAGAAAAAGGGATTATAATCTATTATAATAGATTATAATAGATTATAAGAGATTATAAGAGATTTTCGGAAAAATTATAATCAATTATAATTGATTATAAATTATTAAATTTTCACCAAAATTTTATCATTATAATGGATTATAAATCGTTTAAACATCTAAAATCGGCGCTTATAATTAATTATAATTTTGCTAAAAGTACGATTAAAATTATAATATAATTGATTATTTTCTCGTTTTACTGAGTGCGGGTATGTTCATTCCAGGATTTTGTCCTTAGGTTACCACAGTTTTGTGTTCAAAGTAAAAATTGCGATTATTTCTATAAGTCTTACCTTAATAGTATTATTTGCTAAACCGTTTTTTAAAATTTTATGGTCATGTATGCTCCAAATTGGATCAGATCTCAAGGAAAAATACTTTTTTCTGTAAATTAGCCGCTTAATGCCGCTTTTTGAAGACAAATTTTCGGTTTAAGGATGTTCAAAGAAATTATGATTTGAGTAGATGAGTTTCATTTAGACTGGTATCAAGTTAAATCTAATTTTCTAGAACTAAAATGCCAGTTTTCAGTCAATAAAAAATTTTAGCATATTTTGTAATTAGTAAGTCGGTAAAGCAATTACATTTAAGACGGTTTGGTTTCTACATAATTTTACTGCTCGATTTATTTTTTCATAACTAACAGAGTACTATATGTCTACCGTTATTTAATTAGTTCTTATGTAAAGCAAAACTGAGTTTTTTTTCATGAAAAAAAAATTGGTTTTTCATGCAAGTTTTGTTAAAATATATATTTATTCAAAATGTAACTTGAAGTTTTGGGGTTTTGATAAAAAAAAAAGTATAACGCGAAGAACTTGAAATCAAAATTGAACAGCAAGATCTTAACTATTATTGCTTTCTATTTTTAAACATGTTCAATTGATGATAATAAAAAAAGTCGTGACAAAATAAATATGATTTAAGCTGCAAATACTTTTGTAAATAATGAGCATTCAAAGTTGTCGCTAAAAAAGCTGTTTTGGCTCAAGGTCGAAACGAATAAAAGAGACAAAATTGAAATTATTAAAATCACTCACGACTTGGAAGAGAGCGAGGTATCCTATGGCGACGTTGTCGAAGTTGACCTTCTGGTTGATCCACTTGGCGTCTGTCTGGTTATCGCACCACTCTCTGGTAATCTTGGTTGTAGTATTCGGGATGTTACACCCCATTCTCTCCTCCACCTTTAGCATAATCAGGTATAATAATGTACTAACTTATAATAACATCAGCTGAAGAGGTAAAAGACTTTTTTATGTGCAGCACGCAATAATTGGACTCCAATCCTGAACATACGATAATGATGACATTTTTGAAGTTTTTGAACGCTGTTTGCTTTATTTTGTTTTGTAATTGTGAAAACATTTAAGTGATTGGTTTTTTGGTGGCACTCATTAATTTGCTCGTATTAAAGCAACTTTCTTTCTTCGATAAAAGTTCAATTCAACGAAAATTAGGGATAGGTTTTTGTTATTTTTTGAGGTTTCGCTAGGCGTGATTGTTTTTTGAGAACTTGGGAGTTGATTGTTGTACGAGAACTTGGGAATTGATTCTTCAGTTTTTGCACGTTTTTGTTCAGTTGTTTTTTTTTTGGGGGGGGGGGTTGTCCACCCGTTTTTCCAGCCAACACCACTCGAAGGAGGGGGGCTAAAGATATTATGGGTGTTCTATACCTCCCCGGTGGGTGTGAGGGAGTAGCACGCGTAGAAGCGTCCCTTCATCAGCTGCACTCCCATGATGCTGAAGATGAGCCAGAACACTATGCACACCAGGAGCACATTGAAGATGGAGGGGATGGCTGAGGCCAGTGCATTCACCACAATCTAGCCAAAATAAAGTTACAGTTCACTGGTAATCATGAGAAGAGAGCGCATATCTTATGTTATCATTACGTTTCATAATGATTTTCGTAGATCAAACTTTGAACAGGAAGACATAACCCAATGATAACAATCGTCGAGGTGCTATAGTATTCTCAATCAACTGAATTGGATCGAAAAAAAAGTTATTATATCGAATAAATACAGCTATTTTAGTTGTTACTCTTTAATTGCCACTTTTAATGAATAAGTTGATGATTGTTATATGCTATCTTTATGTACCTTCAAGTAACAGTCAGCAAAATAATTTATCCTATGCCATAATGACATTGAAGTAATTCATGGCCCTTTCTGTACCCATACCTTCATGCCCTGCCACCTGGATATGGCCCTGAGGGGTCTGAGTGCTCTGAGAGTCCTGAGGGATCGGAGGGCTGCCAGACTGTCGTCTTGCAACACACTCTCAGTGATGATGCTCGTATAGGACACCATCACAATGAAGAAGTCCAGCCAACACCACCCGTTCGAGAAGTACACCTAGAGCGAAATAGTTAGTTTTACGAGCAAGTTCAAAAAGCTCAATTTTCATTAAAAATATTAAACCATAGCCATCAGACAATTGGAGAAGAGTCGTGAACGCTTCGAAAAAAAGAAAAAATGAATTGCTTTAAAAATTCCCTACTTTCGATTGTCGAAGAAAAAAATAGATGGCCTTACAACTCTGTGAATTTCTAGCCACGAAAAATTAAATTTAAGTGTGAGCAAATTATAAGACTTCTTTCTGAAAAAAAACTGAATAAAAAGTCACCAACACCTGTATAAGAGTATTCACTACGATCAAAATTCTTAAAAAGAACACTGCAATAGAAAATTCACGACATCACTAAAAGATTCACGACAATTTTTGACTGTATGTACATAAAAGATTCTTGCGCGAACTTTTTTGGACTTCTCTTTCATATCAAAGATTAACGGGTTGACCTCCGCACAAGGGAAAGACTAGTCATACAATTTCACAAATGGAGCTAATGACAAAACGCTAGTCATACAATTTTATACTATGAAAATTGAATGACTAGCATTTTTAAAAATAGAGTTTTCTTTAGCATCAACAAAAAGTTATAAGCTAAAACTGTGGTTTTTTTGAACTGATACCCCTATCTAATGGAATTGAAATTGATTTTGAAAATCAAAATTTCCTGAAAATTGGTTACATTTTTTTTCATTGAAAAGTTAGTTGTAATTAAAATTTCATACTATGAAAATTTTTACCAGTGTTTTTCAAAAACAATCCAAAATTGAGGGAAAAATTAGCTTAGTTCATTTTTTTCTAGTCGCAAAATCATTTTAGAGTACAGACAAACAAATTTTGAAAAAAAAATAATGACTGCAAAATTTGATTTTTTTGTCTATAACATAGTCCAGGCAAAATCTTTTTGCAAAAAAATGACTAGAACTTGTCTTTTGTGTGAAGCCAGATTTGTGTTTTTGTTCTGTATCTTAAGATTTTTTTAAGGTCTGTCAAAAATAAGGCCGCGATTTAAAAACACTCAATTTTTCAAAAAAAGCAATTTAGACGTACACAAAAATTACAAAGTTCGATACAATTATGTGTGAAATTGGAACATAAATTACACTGTGAGTCGCCAAATGCAGTTTATCTGTGGGATTGTTGACACTGAACCTGTTGGTTTTCTCATATGAGAAAGTCTTTGGTTATTGTTCCGACTTATTGTTCCGAGTTTTTTTTGCTCAGACCAGTTTTATATTTTACCTGCTCATTTTAAAATTTACCTGCGTGGAGATTTATCCCACACTGCAAAATCGTTCCAAATTGAATTGAGGCAGCCAATTGGTTTTTATTAATTCCATACACGACTCAAATTGAAACACTTAAATTTTAATGTGTTCAGCCTAAAATTCATAGTTTTGCCAATAGTTAATATCCCGAAAACTATTCGAGACCAATTAAATGGCAGTCGAAATATTCAGGGCTTTGCCCTGATACCAGCAGTCTTGTTGTTTCAAACTGCACACAAAAACCTAAAGCAAAACTCAAATAGCTTGTTAGTTTTGACATAATAAGACAACGCTTGGCACACAATTTCATACTACAAAAAATGCTAGTCACACAGCTTCACACTGCAAAAAATGCTAGTCACACAATTTCACAATGGGAAAAAAATCTGGACGTGTAAAATGCTAGATTCACAAAACGGAAATTGGATGACTAGCGTTTTGCAAAAATTTCTAATAAAGCGTAAATGAAACAGGAAGTTGGCTCGTAGATCGAAAGTCAACCAATTGAATGTCAGGAAGACCTTTTTGAGAGTTCCTAGAAAAGAATTAAGTTATCAAGTTTCATGTAAATGAATCTTTTCTGCTTGTCGTTTTTACCTTGAATCCGAGTCCGAACCATTTGAGTAACATCTCGATGGTAAAGATGCCAACAAACGCGTAGTTCATGATGTTTAATGTATCCTCCATGACTGGCCTTTGACTCAAGTAGATGTCTTCGAAAGCCTGAAACAGTTTCAAGCATGTTAACAGCGCAAAAATAAGCCGAAAAATACAGATAAAAAAACATGCAGAAAAGTTTCCCTTTTGCTCGTTTTTCGTTCAAAAATTAGCTGCAGGGAATTTTGCGAGAAAGATTTGCAATGACAACATGAGTGGAACTCTTTGAAAATCCCCTCTTTACTGTAAGAAGTGAAGAGTTAATTAACTGGGCACTTAATTGATGCAAGCTTTACCGTTGATTAAGTTCTCTGTACGGATGAAGTTGGCTGCCGGGATCTATTCCTAAATCAATCCGAAAAAAAAGAGCAGAAAAAGTTTTTCGGATCTCACGAGTGATATGCTGCTGACGAGGATGATTACGAGGATAAACCACTCGAACACTCTGTGGTCAACAATTCGGAAGCAGAGTCTGCGGAATCTGGTCCAGCCCCTGCCCGCCAAACTGTTGCCACACCACTTCCCGCACGAGGAGGACAGCCGAGTCGTGATCAAACTGCCAAAACAGTCCTCCAGAGGTTTTTCTTCCTCTTCGTCCTCGTTTTCTAAAAATAAGATGCAGATAACTTCAAATTGAAAATGAAGTACTTCCGGCTTTTTCGAAAATCAGCAATTTTTTTTTTAAAAACTCAATTTTCGCAAAAATTGAATTAGAGATTTTTCTAGTTCATTCTGCTGACCGCTAATTCAATTCTTTGATTCATAGGCGCTTAAATTGGTGCGTTAAATTACTTAATCTGTTTGCCTAAATATGCTTTAAGACGGATATTTTCATCTTATACTTTCATTTCATTTTGTTATAATCAAAATTAGTCTATTTTTTTTTGTTTTCCCAAGCGTTCTGTAAAGACTTTAATGCTTTTTTTTGCATAAAATCTTAGTCATACATTTCCTATTCAAGATGAAATTTCAGGCATATAATTACCATTTATGATAAAATGTTAGTCGTACATTCTTCAGTATGATCAAACATTTTCATTCTGAAAAAAGGATAGCCGGTTACTGTGCAAGTAGCACAGAATGTTCCGACCTTAAAAACTACAGAAAAGTTTTTTTTTCAATTTAGTTTAGTTTTTTTATAGTAAAACTATAATTTAGGCATCTTCGGAATTTATAGTAATACAGGCTAATTGGACAAATGACTCAAAAAAATTTTTTTTTTTAATTTAGAAAAATTCAATTTTTTTTTTTCAGTTTATTTTGCAAAAAATGTTTGAACTTTTCTGAAACTTTCGGTTCTCAAAATGGAATTTTAAAATTCCAAAAAATAATTTTACTTGCTTAAAACTAATTTTTTAGGCATTTTTAAAGGCACAATTAAGCTGTTGCATGACTGCTCGCTTGCTTTATTTGCTCGAAAAAAGACGAAAAATGAAAAAATTCACACCAATTTTTCTCGACACTGGGGATTTTTTTGAAAACTCTTATGTGTTTCGAAGCACGGCTGTAAGGGATTTAATATGATATATCACTCAACCGAGTCCGGTGATTATTTGTGGTAGCTGACTTTGCGTGGACAACAAAAAGAAAAAAAACTAAAACACACCCGAATACAAAGTTCCTCCCCGTTTTCAATGGTCGGAGCAAAAATGTTACACAATTCTTATAAATGCGAGAATGTTAATCATACTGTTTTCAGGGAATTTTTTCAAATTTATGAATGTATGGGCCTTATATGAGAATTGCATGACTAGCATTTTTGGTCAAACCGTGTAGTTTGCTTGCATAATTTTTTTTTGCTTTTCAGATGTCCTCATCTAACGGTAATCAGGCGTTTCCATATGTTATTTGGTACTTGTTGATCAAACTTCCATTGAGTTGACGGGACTGCTGATAATGGGCTACATTTTGGGGGAATTCTGGCAAAAATTGGTCCTAGGAGTCAGTAAGTAGGGGGCTAGAGCTTCATTTTAAATTGGGAGAGACGAAAAAAAACGTGATAGATTGTGTATTCATGAACTTTTCGACTATTCGAATCCGCATCAAACAGTGTTGGTAAACTAATTTGTTAGTGTTTTGGATCCAATGAAGACGTAGAGAGATTTCTGACGCAGCAAATTAGATGCTGCCACGCGTCTTCAAAATGGGGTGAGAAGGTTAAGTTGAAATTCCAAATTACACAGTAACATGTAGAGGACCCGTTCCTTAGTGAGCTTTAAAAGGTGTTCATCAGTTAATGAATAATAAATAATTAATAGTTTTCAACCAGTAAAAAATTCAAAAATTCATAAAATGACACTTTAGTAAGTTTACAACTGCCCCGGAAATACCATTGGATCCACAGATTCGATTTCAGGTGTCCCTTTGATAGGAGAAAACCGGTTGTTTTTTGATTTTAGTATCAGTTACCTTTCTGCGGTTGTAAATAATTTTGCTATCGTCAGAGCGAAGTTTTGAAGTAGTGCCTCTTTTTACAAAGAAGAAACAGCCGGCAGTTAGAAATCTGTCTGATTGTTGGTCATGACACTTATCGAGTTGAACCGCTTGCGTAGATCGTCTTACAGTAAGAATCAGCCCAAACATACTTATCTTGCTTATCATAGTTGATTGACTTATTTCATGTAAAAGATACAAAAAATGTTGAGTCTAGTTTGCTAGATGTGAAAAAATATAAGAAGGAAACCAGCATGATGGGGGGGGGTGAAATATTTCAGGCTGAAGACCTTAAGCGTGCTGGCGTCAGTAGCCTTAACAAGTGTTGAGTATTTTACGTAGATGATTTGCCCTTGTTTTACATTTTAGCATGTTGCCCTCGGAAACTTTTGGCGGCAACTAAAAGATATTTATATTGCTTAAAAAAGGCACCCGTAAACTGAAAACTCGAATGTAAAGAAGTGCATAACGAAAAGCAGAGTTCTATCAAGATAAAAAATACCGTAACAAAGACTATAAAAATATGCCCGAGCTAATCTTACTTTTCTTCTTCTTTGTGTCAGTTTTGGGCTCTGTTTTCGCCCCGTTCCCGTGTGAGTCCTTGGCGTCGTCTGAGAATTTGAGCACCGTCTTGCCGGACTTCCGGTCTATCAGTGCTTTGGCTTTGATGGGAGAAAACCGGTTGTCGTCACGCGGTTGACCTTTTGTTGCACCTGCCAAAATCATAATTCACTGTTTTGATACTGAACGATAAAAACTGCCCCTGGAAAAATATGTTAGCTTTTTTTTGTTTCCAAGGTTGTATAGAAAATCGCGCTTAACTTTACGAGTGTTAAGTTCCAAAAGAAATGGAGACGAACACTCTTTTCATTTTCACTTTCAAATTCAAAAAAAATTGTCTCTGGAACCTTAAGGTATCTTCATTAGATTTTTCTCTATTTTAGTCTTTTCAAGTTTCGATTATAAAAAAAGTATCTGTATTTTTCGAAAGTTTGTTGTCTTCACTTTATGTGAGAGCTGATTTCCATTTCGAATTGTTTTCGTTGTCGAAATTTTTCAAATGGTTTCGGATGATACGTTGTTTTTTTAAATAAAACTTCATTGCTCTGTGCAATCTAACCTTTTTCATTTTTAGACATCTCTTCTAGCAAGTCGAATGCATCTTGAGTTTCTTGATCTCTGAATGCCTGGACAGCATGTCCATTGCTTTGCACGTCCCCATTTGACAACGCAGCTCCCCCTCCCCCATCCGAGAGCTGCCCATTGGCCTGTTGACTGGAGGGGGAGTTGATTACTATCTTGGGCGCCATCTGTTTCTTTAGTTGCTGGAATTCTGCCTCGAGTTGATCCTGCACTTCGGCTAGTTTGCCCTCCGCTTTGGCCTGCCGGAGGGCTCGCAACAAGGGACTGATGTTGGCCTGGTCTTCTTCTAAAAAAAAACAGAAACAATTTTCTACTTTTTGACTTTTTCAACCCCGCCACCCCCACCTTAATTCCAACACCTTAATTTTCAAATTACAATTTTATGCGTTAATCACAATACGCAGAATTTTGCGAATAACAAATAGCGATTGTTAGCTGAGCTTTTATGATCACAGTTTTGGGCAAGCTATGCGAAAAACTTTAAAAACTTTACCCTCTTCGCCTGTTTTGGCAGCATTGAGTACATCTAAGAACCGAGGCTGCACCCTTGTGTTTTTCTTCAGCAAGCCTTGCAGCCTCTTCCAACCCGCCTTCAGTCTGGTATTTTGCTGCTGCTGCCGCTGCTTCTTCAGATTCTCTTGGCCGAACTTGTTCAGAAGGAGGGCCAAGAAGAGATTTAGGACGAGGAAGTTTCCGACTATGAGGGTGGTGATGAATATGATCATGCACATGGGTTCCCCGTTGACCCGCATACAGTCGAACAGTGCCTCGATCCACTCTCCGCAGAGGATGCGGAACACCATCATGAAGGAGTGGAAGAAGTCTTTGAAGTTCCAGCGAGGCACCTCTGCCGGCAGGTTCCTACAATGGGAAGCGTTTCGAATCAGGAGTCAAAGAGAACCTTTTTTTGATACAGTGAAAGGTAGAATTATGTTAGTCAAAATATATTTAATCAAAGTCAGCCGTAATCATAATGTAGCACTAAAAGTCTTAAGATCTTAAATTTGAGATCCTAATCAACGCTTATCACTCAACTTTTTCAGGTAGTGATAGAATATGCCTATTGCATTAGAACTTAATAACTCTCAGTAAAAAAAGTAAAAAATATAATGTCCAAATTATATGTTGATAGTAGCTCCTATATTTTTTCACTTGAAATGTATCAACGCAACGTGTTTTTGACAATGTTTTTTAAACGACCCAAGTTGATTCTGATTGCCTGAAAACTCAAATGCAGAACCAAGCTTAATAGCTTTTAAGGATTGGGCAGGGGTGTTTATTTTGATTGTTGAGAGATTTTTTGTTATAACTGCAAAGTTTTTTGTAGCTTTGGTTGATTTCATTAAAATTGAGCCGCAGGCATAATTGTCAAGACATAACCAAACAAATTGATGGCCGCCTTAAATTCAATATGAAAACACATTTCATTATGAATTGAAATTGAATATATTATGGGTTTTTTGCTACTCTACGCTAAAGCTTACTCTATAGTTGTTAGGTTTGCCCATTTCTCTGTAGTATATCCCTCGCCCAGCAGCTGCATCCCAATAACGGCGAAGATATAAATGATTATGATGAGAATCAGAGTCAAGTTCCCCAAGGCACTCAGAGTAGACCCAATGATGGCGAGCAGAATTCGCATAGTTGCCCAAGACCTGGCGAGTTTGAATACTCTCATGAGTCGCAGTACTCGTAGAATGGTGAGGCCGTCGAAAGCGGCGTCGTCAAACACAGCCGACACTATTATCTCGACAATGCTGAATAGCACTATAACGAAGTCGAAGGCGTTCCACTTGTTCTTGAAGTACTCCTTGCCCATGGCGATGATTTTGAGAAGTGCTTCCACACAGAAAAAGGCAGTGAAGATCTAAATACAAACAAATTTCCCAGAAACACATTCCAATTTTTTCATTAAGAAAAGTGTTTTTCAAGTTGAAGAAAAATTTTGCAAGAATGATCAATTTTCATATTATTCATCATGACACTGCGTTTTCTAAAAACTAATCGATTCTAAATAAGATAAATCTTACAAAAACTTTCACAGTCAGAAATACGTGCAATACGGGTGTCAGGGTTCTTATTACAAAAACGGGTCCTTTCACCGACCTGGTTGCCCCAACCGAGCACTTCTTTGAGTGTCTGCGGCATGTTGTGGTAGTCCAGTGCGAGGAAGAGAGTGTTCACTCCAATTAGCAGAGTGACCACAATGTCGAAAACAGGGTCAGTAACCCATCGGTAGATGACCAGTTGCACCGGGAACCACTTGTTCGCCTCCACTGGCCCGCAACATTTACAGCAGCCGACTGTGCAAAGGGGCCCGCAACACCACATGATGTTCATGCGCTCCAGCTGCGCCTGGGGATCTAAATTGAGACAAGATGTTTGTTAAAGACGAATTCTCTAATGGCCGACTTTCTCATTCATCGAGTCACTAGCTTAACATTGGTCTGAACCTTTATCTTGTTAGAACATCAACTTTTTCATAAGTTTCCAAACATTTATTTCTTACATCAGATCTTTGTCGAGCTCATCACTCAAAACCATGTTTCTTGTTTTCATTGACTTTGTTTTCAACAAACAGTTTACTTGCTCAATCAAAACTGTTTTTTTTATTTCCATTTCTTATTAAAAATTAATTGTGTTTCACAATTTCCAAGCAAGACACCACCCCTCATTAATTCATTTTTTTGGTAAAAACAAAAGAAGCGTTTTTCTATTGACTTCCTTTCATGCTATAAATTTAATTCTGATATTAAAGGAGAGGAAAAGCTGTCAGGTGGTACCAATAAAATTTTTTGAACCTAGTCTACCTTTTCATGCAAAACGGTATGAAAATCATTGTTTTTAAATATGATTTATGAGAGCTAAATCAACATAATAATGAAGATTTGATATGAAAATTGTAGTTCACAAGTAATGAGCAAAAATTGGCCAAAACGTGTTTCGTTTCTTCTTCAGTAAAAAAGACAAAAACTACCTGCTTTGAAAGTGAAAGATATGACGTCATTAGATGAAAGATAGTATTTTAGTGCTATGCCATTTTATACCTCCATATACAGGCTTAAAAAATATACGAATTAACAGAATTATTTCTAAATCTAAAAATGAGGAGCTTAATTGAAAACAAGCTAATGAATAATGAACTAGATTTGTTTTATATTTCCTTGATGTTCTTTTTATGAAAAGTACCTTCGTCTAGAAGATCGACGTCATAATCAAGCGAGAGTACGTGTATTCCCTCGCTGGGCTTAGACTCTTAAAAATAAACAGATTTATGTCAAATGAAGCAACTCCAGACAAGAATTACTTGGCTATTGAATTATTTATGACAAGGTTTCCTCGGATTTAAGCGGATCTAATTTATCCAAATTGATGAATAATATCAATCATGGGTAGATGAAGTCTAGTTTTTGTAATACTACTACTCATGTTTTTCTTCATTCGAGGTTTTAAAAACAAAAAATCTTTCATCTTTCGCTGAGGATCTTAGTGAGGTTTCTAGTGCTCCACAAAATTTGCTTCTGGTTTTGACTTTTTGGACCTTTTTTTCTCAGATATGTAGAAATTTACAGGCTACTACAACTATTTCGCATTAAATTAGATTTTGAGACATTTTCGATGTATTTAGCTAAAAAGAACAGTTGTTATCAGTCCACTAAACGTCATCTATGCAGGGAGTGGGAGGGGCAGACGCCTTCCTTCTGGTGTTTGACCCCTTGCTGACCCAAAGGGTCCCTCTTTGTACATTTTTGAGTTATCCATTTTGCCTGATTGACCCTAAAAATTTGACCCTTATATTGAAGTAGACCGCGTGCTGAATAAAAAGGCGCGGTTTTTGGTCTAAACTGTTCTAAAAGTGTCTAAAATTTTAACTTCAAGACTATCACACAGACAGATGGAAAATGACAAAGAACTCCAAAGAACTAAAAACAAATAACTTACAATAATGTAGGGGCGGATCTAGGATTTTCTCGAGGGGGGGGGGGGGGCGGATTTTCAAAAAAATTTCGAAAATTTTGTCGACCTTTTTTTTAGGTCGACCAAATTGATTTTTCGAGCTCTTCCAAAGCACTGTTTTGTCCCTATTTTGGCCAAATTTTCTGCACCGCAGGCAAAATTTTGAAAAAAACAGTCCAAAAAAGGCTTTTTTATGCACTTTTTGGAAAATTTTGACCGAAAAATTGTGATTTTTCGGCGCGCGCTCCCCCCCCCCCCCCTCAAAATTAGTGTATATTTGCGCCAAAGGCGCCTTTGGAAAATTTTTAAGTTGGTCGGCCAAAACTGGATTTCTTAAAAGTACCAAAGGGGTCGGCAGGGAGTCGAATCCCTGAGGGAAGAGAGGGCGTCCAACCCCTCCCCCCCCCCAGCGATTTAAACCCCCCCCCCCCAAGTATTTGAACCCCCCTAAATCCCCCCCCCCCTAAATCCGCCCCTGCATTAATGAACAATTTTTTCCAATTGTCTATTTTGATAGAAGAAGTTTCAAATCCTATGAATATTTTAAACTCAAAATAATTTTTATTCCTTATTATTTAGCAAAAAACGTTTCCGATAGCCGGATCACAATGATAGACAGAAAATTTTTCCGTGCGAGCTCTAAAACACAAAAATTTCCTCGATCAAAAAATGTTGTTTTGTATTTTAAAGTTTTGTTTCTCAAGTTAATTATTCTGTTAATAACTAGTTCTTCCGAAAAGTACTTTGGAATAATTTTGACAAAAAGTTCCCGCTTATTCGATAAGTTAACTGTAGTCGGAACTTTCTGTGCTACTTGCACAGCAACTAGCTAGACTTGGTTTGCTTGTTTTTGCTAGCTATTATCTTCTGCTTCCATTTTGTTCTCTCTTTACCAATTTTTAAAGTTTTGTCATTTCAATCAAGCCATCGTACAATCGTTGCTGAGATAGAGCAATACTGAATAAAAGTGTTCTTACCATCTGGAATTCCATCGGCATCATCTTCATCGTCATCGTCGCCCTCCTAAACAAAAAGCCAAAACTTTGTACAAAAACTACGACCATCTTTGCAAAAATAAGCAACGGTCTACTAAGTCAATGCTAAAATGCTACAATGGTGTGCTTGTGGTATGTTTGGTGCAGAGACCAAATTACCTTGAGTTTTTTCTTTTTTCTCATTGAACCCGCCGATTTTTTCTGCTAAATAATTAAGACTACTTTCAGAGTTAAGTTCTTCAAGTTTAAAATTATATCCATTCTTGAATCATTAGCGAAACTTACGATATTTTCTTTGTATTTTTTAAAATTGTATCATTTCATTACTTTCCAGTTAGTTTCGAAACAAGTCAATCAGAGGTGGATTTAGGGGGAGGGGGGTTGGGGTGCGATGGTGGATGCCCTCCTCCCTTCCCTTGCCCTCAGGGATTTGAACCCCTGCCGACCCAAACGGTCCCCCTTTGTACTATTTTGAGCTATATTGAGCTATCCATTTTTGGCTGACTGACCTTAAAATTTTCCAATATATACTAATTTTGACGGAGAGCGCGCGCTGGAAAAACGCGATTTTGTCGTCAACATTTTCCAAAAAGTGCCTAAAACGCCGTTTCTGGCCTCTTTTTTCAAAATTTTGCCTGCGGCACAGAAAATTCGGCCAAAACAGGGTCTTTTTAGTGCTTTGTGAGAGGTCAAAAAATCAATTTGGTTGGATTAAAAAATAAACAAAATGTTCGAAATTTTTTGAAAATTCGCACCCCCCCCCCCCCCCCTCTAGAAAATCAAGATCCGCCCTACAGTCAATTATTTCAAGCTGTTTTGTAACAGTCATGCAATACGAATTTAAGAACGACCAGAGCTCCCTATTCCTGTTGCCATGTTTTTTCAGCATTCTGGCTTTCATGTAATTTAACTTACATCTGAACTCTCTTGTTTGGCTTGTCTGCTGGGTGTTGTCGCTCGGTTTGCATCTGAAACGGAAATAAATCATAAAGTTAAATATCAGAAGATTTGATAAATGAAACTTTGTACGAATGCAATCTTAAAAATTTTTTTTATCAGTTTTCAATTGAATTTTACTTTTGAATTGTAATCTAAGAAGTAACTGGAAAAAATATCTAAGTATCGAAGAAGTATCTCAGTTTGAAGTATCGTAAAACATTTAATTAATTTTTAGAGGCAAAAGGTTAGCAAAGTTACCTGCTGGTGCTGCCAGTGAATTTGAACCAGGGTAGTCTGAATGTTCCAGGGCAGCGGCCTTGTCGTGTTCACGTCTCTCCATCCTGTCTTTGGACTGCTGCTCTTCCTAGAAACAAACACATCAATTGTTGATTTAAAAAAAATTTCATCCACAGAAAACAAAAAAGACTGTGTTTGACAAAGTTAAACTGTACAAAAATGATAATTGGGTCGCCGCTAAAAATATAGATGTGTCCCTGAAAAAATATTCATGTGCCTTAAAAGGTTCGTAGCCAGTTTTTGCAACTGATTTTGTTCCTACCATTTAAAACAAGTGGAGAAACTTTGATTCAAAAGTCGATACAAGCAGGTACCAAGGCTTCAGTTGTCTCACTTGTGTTCCGAGCATTTGAAAAATAAGGAGGGAACTTTGTATTCGGGAGTGTTTTAGTTTTTTTCTTTTTCCAAACACAAAATGAAGAACCACAAACAATCATCGGACGAGATCGAATTTTAGTCGTGATTTGAACGAATTTAAAAAATTTCTAAGTGTTGAGAAAATACCGGTTTAATATTTTTGAGTCTTAGCCCAATTTCGAGCTAGTAAAGCGAACAAGTGGCGTTCATTAAATAAAAATATTCAGCTTTTAGGCTAAAAAACAAGATTTTACTGAAAGAAAGCTAGTTTTAGAAGCTTCATTATGCGCTTTCTTGGCCATGAAAATTTTCATACAAAATTAAAACTTTTAGAGCACAAAATTAGGAAAATTTTTAGAAAAATATTTTTTTCATCAGTTTCATTTTTTGAAGACAATTGTAGCACTTTATGTCTAATTCATTTGCTTTTTATGCGTTATTATAATCTTTGATCACACCATACAAAAAAACGATGCTAATTTCAAAATAAAAAAGAAAATTTCTTGAGTTTCAGCGTCGAGAAGAACTGGTCTGAATAATTCGTTTCTAAATTAGACAAAACTTGATGATAAAAAACTGACCCCTCAAAACTCAATTTATTAGTTTCAATTTAAAGTTATTTGCACTCAATTTAGCGCTACTATTCGCATTTTTCATCTATACCAATAGCCTTTTCTAGAAAAGTATTGCACGAAATCGAACAACCAATGTGACATTGAATTTTTTTTTTAAATCAAATAATCTTCTAGGCTCTGAATTCTACGGCAAATCTCAGCCATTCAACGAATCCCGACTTACTCCAAAACACAGACAATTTCTAACAGTGGACCAAGCAGCGGCAGACTACTTGAGGATCATCCACTACTACAAGATAGTCGCTCAAATGAGCGATGTTAAGGTAGTGAGCTAATTGAACTGTCTTAAATGTTCGGCTAATTGACTTTTATACTAGTTCAATTAATGAAGTCAATTCTCGAAAACTACATGAAAAAAAATATTCCACAGTTTTCATATGTTTTTCAGAGTTCCTGGTAATGAATTTTTTCAACTATTCACCCTTTGGTACCTAGTAACGAATTTCTATCCTTGTAAATGAAAACTTTGTACCAATAACGAATATCTATTTTACAAAACCGAGAATAGAGAAAGAGATGCCCTTTATTTCATAGTTTTTACGTTTCCGGAGAATAAAAAGGAATATGCTCGTATCGTTTTTGCTATAGCTATAAACCATAATTAACAAATGATAAAATTTGGAAGTTTCTACGGTGGTTCTTTTGCGGTCTACTTGAGATTCAAATAACCCCAATGAAATCAGCGGCAGTCTGGCCTCTGGTGCGACTGTGCGAATAGCAGACGAGTTTCAGACTAGGACTCAGTTCAAGAAGAGAGTAACTCAGTCATATCAACAGATTCCAGGACGCTGATGACGCTAAAAAAACTCCAAAAACATTTTTACTTGAGTAAAACTAAGTTTTGACGGCCTGAAAAAAGCCAATATATACTATTGCAAGCCTGCTCGCTCGTATTATTTGCTTGAAATTAGACTATAAACAAAAAATTTTAAAACTGTTTTTCTCAATAATGGGACAAATTTTTTGGACATTTCTTAATGCCGTTCGATTTTGCGTGGAAAACAAAAAGAAAAAGAAAAAAACTGAAACACACCCGAACACATAATTTTTCCCGTTTTTCAAATGGTCGGAACAAAAAAATTTTGTAATTTTTTACGAATGTGGTCCGAACATTCTGTGCTACTTGAACAGCAACCAGCGCTCCTTGTTATTTTTATGATTTTATGTTTTTTTTTCATAAAAATGGCGGGTCCCATTTTTATGCATGATTTTTCTACGGACCCAACAACTTTCATACTTTGAAAGTTTGCGCTCAATGGTATCATAAATTAGCAAACAAAAACCGTTTCAGACTTTGCTGCCGGCTCAACTAAAAAACCAAAACAGCATAGGGTTTCCAACCAGTTGTTAACCAATTCATTATAATCAAATGATGTGAAGGTCAATATCATAAATTTTAGCAACTTTGTCGATAAATATGTTGTCATAGATTCGCAAACAAATCATAAAATGGCAAGATGACGAAACTTCTTGAATTGATAAATGAAATAAGCGACTTTCATATGCGGTTCTCATAACTGGAGTGAATGATGAAATATCCAGTCTTTTGGTGTCTTATTTGGATAAGTGGCTTCTCAGAAGTGCTGTAGGTATTTTGATTTTTAATTTAGAGTTTTATGATTTTGTTGGTGAGGTAAGGTATAACAACAAGACAAACATTGCTTCAAGAAGAAGTTCGTGCCAATTCTGAGATTTCAAACTTTCGATTTGAAATGATCTCTGCTTGTTTTTTCCAATTAAGTTGTTTGTTCTGCTTCAGACATCAAATTTTGTTAAATTCTCTGCTGCAGGAATAGTTGCGGTTTTTTAAAATTGTGTCAGGGGTTAGTTCCTCAAAATCAAAAGAAATATTAACTGGCAAATTTTTAGTTTTTTTTTCAGATCTGTTCCTTACAGTATTTCCTCCTTTGCTCAATTAGTGGACCACTATGGCCTAGTTTTCAACAAAACCAGCCAATCAGATGCCTTCTTCAATCAGAGACACATAGTCATAGACACTTGGTGTCCATTGACACTACCAAACAGCGCTGAAAAGGAGGGAGGAGAGAAAAATGGAAAAGGAGGTGTGGAGCTCGATCCTAGGAACCACACTATTTTTGTCTACGCAGGCGGAAAGGGAAATCTGGAAGACAATTTTGACAAATCTGGGTTTGTTTTGGAACTAGCCAAGCATTATGGGGTGAGCTATAACGTCTTTTACTCAAGAAATTGCTTTCGTTTCAAAGAGTTAGTGACAAAATTCTGAGAACTCAGGAAAAATTCTGGGAAAAAGTTTGCGCGCTATTTTCTTTCGAATTTCCTGATTTTTTTACTAACTAGTTCTTATTTTTCCTAAAATCAAAAATGCTTCTAGGCACTGGCGATTTTCATCGAGCACCGATTCTACGGCGAATCTCAGCCATTCAACGGATCCCGACTTACTCCAAAACACAGACAGTTTCTAACAGTGGACCAAGCAGCGGCAGACTACATGAGGATCATCTACTACTACAAGATAGTCGCACAAATGAGCGACGCTAAGGTAGTCAGCTAACTGACTTGTTTTGAATGTTCGGCTAATTGACTTTTATACTAGTTCAATTAATGAAGTCAATTCTCGAAAGGTACATGAAATATTTAAAAAAATATATTTCACAGTTTTGATGTTTTTCAAAATTCCTGATACTGGATCTCTATAACTATCCACCCTTTGGTACCTAATAACGAATTGCTATCCTTGTAAATGAAAATTTTGTACCAATAACGAATCCCTATTTTACAAAGCGGAGAATAGATAAAGAGATCCCCTTTATTTCATAGTTCTTACGTTTCCGGAGAATAAAAAGGAATATGCTCGTATCGTTTTTGATAGAACTATAAATCATAATTGACAGGTGATAACATTTGGAAGTTTCTACGGTGGTTCTTTGGCGGCCTACTTGAGGTTCAAATACCCCAATGAAATCAGTGGCAGTCTGGCCTCTGGGGCGACTGTGCGAATGGCAGACGAGTTCCAGGCTAGGACTCAGTTCTGGAAGAGAGTAACTCAGTCATATCAACAGATTCCAGGGGTGAGAAATATGGTTTCACGTGTTCTTGGTCCAAAAATTAGGTTCTATAAAAATTGATTAGCCTTTTCTATGCATTAAATAGGCAAAACCTGCTAGATTTAAAAAAGGAGATAACGATAATGAGTAATTCTACAATGTTGACGAGCAAAAGAAGAATGAAAAGTCTTGGTTCGCTTTAAAGAACGATGAAAAACTTGTTTTTGATAGATCTATGATGGTCTTCTGCTGGAATACAATCTGGTTAGCATCTTAGATCAAAAAATCAAGTTAAGGAAAATGTTTTGTTGCTTTTTAGATTGGACCCAAAGTTGTTCAGAAAATCAGAAGTGCCTTCGACGGATTGAATGAACTAACATACTTCGGATCACTGGGATATGAAGTAATCTCGAACCAATTCAACCTCTGCGACCGACTCAATAAAAAGAACTACAAAACTTTTCTCTTCACTGTCAGAAATGTTTTTGCTAAGCTTGCTATAAATAACAACCCTTATGCTGTCGGAATGTACCCCGCAAACCCAGTTCAGTTTGCTTCTAGTATTATGTACTACACTGACAGAGATATTCAGGCTCTGGTGGATTTGACCTTTTGGTTCTATCAGCAGAGCAAGTTGACCTGCTTTGACCCCTCAAAATACTTCAGGCTCTGTCCAGATCCCAGTGGATGTGAAATGAATGAAAATGGAAATGTATGGGCTTTTCAGACATGCTGGGAGCTACAGCAAGGTGCATATTATAAGGAAATTGAATCTCTTTTTTGACGCAGCAGATAATTTCAGAGAGAAAAATTAGGATGTTGGAATGATTTTTCTACGGGCGTAAAATCGTCAGACCAAATCAAATGCGGTCAACTCAGATATCGCTTTGAAGCTTTTTAGTCAGGAATTCTAACCTATAAAAAGCTCTTTGGTCCAAAAAGGGAGTATTTTGGTCCTCAAAGAAGTTGAATCCGTTTAGCATTTACATTGGATGAAGATTTTCTGGCGCATTTTATGATATTTTTTCATTAACTTTTAAAAGATGTTTAATTTAGTAATTGGGAGCTCCATCGGCAATTCAATGTTCCCAAACTTGGAATGGACAACAAAAGAGCTATTCAGCTTCTGCAAAAAAGAATTCGAAGAGTTTTCAGGCCAGGAGAGGTATCAATGGTTCAAGATAAACTACTGGGGATCAAAAATATCCTCTGCCTCGAACATCATCTGGACCAACGGACAGCTGGATCCTTGGTTCGGAACCGGAATAATCACCACCAATTCAACTCCATACTTGAACACTTTGAGTGCCATTCCAGGAGCTTCACAAGGATTGGACCTCAGGGGTCCAGTTAATGGAGACGGCATGGCCAAATATAGGCAGATGGAACTGGAACTGATTGGACAAATACTGACAGGCACATTTCCGTCTTCATAAAGGAATCGAGATATGTACAACTAAGAAATTAAAGATTTTAAATGAGTAATTTCATGCTTACCGAATTGTTTTTTTTTTCTAAAGCTGGAAGGCTCAGAAAACAGGCATGGCCACAACACAGTATCATCTTATTTTCTACCATGAGGTCTAACGCTGAATCTTGAACTTTATGTCATTTTTTATTTTTTTGAGCTTCATGCTTCTGTGTTCTGCCAAAATTACGTTTTAAGATCAAATAGTTTTGCATTTCTAATTGGATTTTACAAGAGCCCCAGAGATTCAACCGTGCGATTCATGCAGCGCACTCAGTGATATTAAAATTAATACACCTGGTATGCCTCATCAAATCAGCTGGTGTTAGATACCGATCATTATCGATGCATTCACAGTTGACAGACTTGAAGGTAAACCGATGAACTGTACACTTTAATGTTCGCATTAATTGACTGAAAGAAGACAAGAGCCAGCTCAATTACTGACGACGCGACAGCTTTTTAGTTAAAAAAAGTTATAATGTGTGAATCAGATGAATACTAGTCCAGATTCATTTATGTTGCAAAACCACCAAATTAAGGTAATGTTTAATTATCAAAATGACCTATTTAAAAAAGACTTTAAGGAAATATGATCGAAAAAGTGATTTTGCTACATTATCGCTCCGAGGTGCGATATCAGGCCAAACAATGGAGTTTTAGGATTACAAAGTTTGTGATTGATTATCAACGTATTCTGTGGCTAGTTATGCCTTCAACTGCGCAAAAAAGAATCCACATTTATCTCGAATTGATTTTTTTTGGCTTTCGAAGTGAGTCATCAAATACTTACGCTTAGTATGGTGTTGTCATCAATTTTCAAAGAAAAATGATTTGCACGTGTTATTTATGGCTAAAAAATTTTTTGCTGGACATTTCTGACGAGGGAGCTTCAGAATTCAAATAGGCGTTTCCACAGGGGCGGATATAGGATTTTCTCGAGCTTTCAATTCAAAAATTTATCGAAAGTTTTGTCAGTATTCTTATGTCGATCAAATTCATTACCTGAGTTACTTGAAAAATCATAATTTTGAGCAAGATTTTGAAAAAAAGCACGAAAAGACGCAAGGTTTTGATCAAAAACTCCCACTGCAATATTAGTATAAATGAGCGCTTTTAAAAACTTTAGGGTCGGTCGAAAAAAAATTTATGTTTTTAAAATAGTACTGGAACTAGTAATAGTAAAAAAAGGTTCCCAAGCTTATCACCACGTGTTTTTAACCCCCCTTGCTCTTATCCCCCTCATAATACACCAAAAGTAGATAACCCCACTACAATTTAACCCCTTTTTAAGACCAGTTGTTAGAATCAAAGTGAAATTTACTTGAAAAGGAATCGGAACCATATCGTCGGTAAACATCAAAGCTTCAATTGCGAAAAACTTTTGGAACCAAAATGAATTAACATGCACGCTGCTACAGGCGTTTTAGATTCAATCAGAAATGACCTTGCCGATACTATAGATTTTGATATGAACTTGAAAACGAATCCGACCGACATGATTCAAATTAGTTAACAAAACTGATAGGATTTTTCCGAAACTGGACTTAATCTTGAAACAATTCCTGCCAATAAAAAATAAATGACTGAAACTAAATGAAAAAAGGAATGAAAACTTTCTGACCAAAAATTTGATCTAAGCAGACCATTTTAAATTGAAATACCGATCATTTTGAGTAAAACTTATTTATTTTTACAAAGCATCTATTTTTTGTCAATTTTTGTTGACTTGTCTGCATAAAACGCAATGTGGAAAGGTTCGCCAGCCCCTAGTTCCAACCTAACGTCCCATCCAAAGGAACGATTGTTCCGAGATTAAATTGCTAGAGAGTGCATTTTTCAAATGCGAGTCATGTCAATGCATTTTTTACGTCTACGGGAGGCTACAAGGAGACGCCTTTTCTCAAGAAAGTTGACAAACAAGGTTTTAAATTGAAAATATATACGAAGAACAAAAGAACAAGTACTTATTTCAAGTTCATATTCAATATTCAAAAGATTGCAACGTAAACATTTTTTTTCGTAAACATTTCGTAAACATGCATAATATTCTGCACTTTTTCGTTGCGCAACAGGTAGTTTTTCCTTTTTGTAAATAATTACCCACTCTAGGCGTTATAAAATTGAAGTTTTTGTAAACATGCATAATATTCTGCACTTTTTTGTTGAGCAACAGGTATTTTTTCCTTTTTGTAAATTGGTGCCCATTCTATGCGTTATAAAAATGAAGTTTTTGGACGGCAGCGTCTTTTTGCAAACTTGCGATCACTTTCCAGAGAGCTGTATGTCATAATGCCAGCCCTCTACAGCATTTGTTGTTCTGGCCAAACCCGATGATGCCGCATGCCGAATGAAGGGGATAATAGAACTTCGATTCGGGACCAGACTTTTTATGTAGCTAGATCCAAAATAAAGGCAAAGCTCGTCAACCTCTGCAATTTTTTCCGACTCTTTTATGGTTCGATCGCATACTTTTTGAAATTCCCCCAATATTTTATCGTATGAAATTCTATTTTTCTTCTTTCTCAAAAGCCAGTGAGCTTAACATTTTAAGTGTTACACTGAATTCATAGTTTGTTTCGTAACCTTCTTCAATCTGAGCTCCTCGATTTTTCTCATAAAACTTTATGAAAGATGAAAGAAACATCCCGACAGCTTGGACTCTGAAATTTTTTTTAAATCGCTTGAATGGCGGCATGCTCAAAATCCAGCAAAAATTTTTCTGGTATACTATCAGGGGTTAGTATTTTTAGGGTTTCTAAATGAAGGTGGTATGTTTTTTCTGTTTGATTTGGCAGGAACGCATATATGCAAGCGGGGGCTATTCCTGAAAGCCTAAAATGTATAGAGTAAAATTGATAAAATATTTTCGGGGTGACTTTGAAAGTTCCCTCAGCCAACCAGAAGTTTTTTCATGCACACGTAGCATTTCAGTGTTGCCGAATAAAATAATCCTATCGTGATCATTTTGTTCAGTGTCAAATCTTAAAAAAAATTTTTTAAAAATCGGTTATTTCAAAACTTCTGGTTGCTGTGGAGACTGATAAGACTTCTTCCCGTTGCTTGCGCACTCGTTGTACGGTGCGAACTAAATTTTCTTTGGTTGCTAGAGCTAGTTGAGTGGCAATGTCATCTGTTATGGTCTGATTTGCGGTTGCGACTGCGACGGTTGGGGTGTTACTATCGCTCAGATCCTTGATGTTTTTCGAAACTAGTCGAATATCAGGTTTACCCGTGGAAATATCGTGATTATATTCACGCCTCGTTTCAAAAAAGTTTTCTCCATTCGTAATTGCTGTTGCGCGGCTATTATGATATTATGAGTTTGATATTTCGAGCAGTTCCAATTTGTATTTGTTTTGATTTTGCAAGGTAATACTTGATACTCGTGGCCTGATACCACTAGTGTTTGTTTGTCTTTCAAAGATACAGTAAAATAATGGACGCTTCAAACATTATATCTGATAGAATGGTATAAAAATCGTTAAAGAAATAGGCAGTATGATTTTTTATAAAACTCACAAACGTCTTTTGTTGCCTTCAATTAGCACCATGCAGGTTATCTCTGTTTTAAATGCTTGAATGAGGGATTATTTTTTAAGCTAATCGAAATGCAATTATTTTTGAGCACACAAATGCATGAAGTGAATTAAAAATGGCTTCTCAGGCCTCAATTACTACACCTAATAGGAAAACTACTATGAGTGTAAAAGGACTTAATAAAAGGAGTTAATTTGAAACGAATTCTTGTCAATAAAAGGGGTTAAATTGTTGTGGGGTTATCTTGTTACGGGTTTATAAAGTAAACATAGGGGGTTAAATATCGTGGGGTTAAAGAGTGGGACACCGTAAAAAAAGGAGGGACTCTTTGGGTGATAACCAGGTCAAATTTCTGAAAAAAGGGGAGAGGCATCCAGCCCCCTCCCAAACCCGCTACTGTTTTTCCAAACAAAAGTATTATGAGCAAATAAAATACCCTATAAAATTAATGAGGCCTTACATATAACTTTGTGATATTGTTGCATTAATTGGGGAACATAGCCAACAGACAGTTCTAAAGAGTCAAGGAACGCAAGTAAACTCTTATACTTTCGCTGTTCGACAGTGGAGTTTGCCTTCTTTTTTACCGAAGGAAATGAATTAAACTTAAAAAAAAACACAAATATCAACTAGCGAAATCTTAAGTTTGAGCCTACACAAAATTCAAGACTTCAGGAAAAAAATATATATTTCATCAAGACCTGCATAAGGGCCTGAACCACATTCCTCGGTTCTTGAAAAACAAAAAAACTTTGCCGCGTTTAGAGAAAACAATCGTTTTGAAACACCACTTTTTAACTTTTTTTTTCTAACATAATACAAAATGCAGTTTGAACTTTAGCGTTTTTGTTCAGGCGCGGGTCTAGGAATTTCTACAGGAGAGGGGCGGATTTTCAAAAAAGGTTCTGAAAATGTTGTCGACTTTTTCTTAGATCGACCAATTTGATTTTCTAAGCTCTCCCAAATTACTTAAAGACCCTAATTTGACCACAATTTTTTTGCCGCAATCAAATTTTTGAAAAAAAAGGCTAAAAAAGGCGTTTTTAGGCAGTTTTCAGAAAATGTTTACCAAAAAATTGCGTTGAATAATTTTTTTGAAGCTAGGAAACCCTGTCAAAGCAGTCTCAAGTTACATTTTTTTTATTTATTTTCAAAGTAATTTTTTCAATTGAATTTTTTTATCCTATAGTTTCAGCTATTTATAAAGTTGGTTTATGAAGATTCTTAAAAAGACCAAGTTTTTTTTTCAAAAATTTCAAATTTGTACAAATAAAGGGTCTTTTGCGCGCAACTTGCTGCCGTGAACAAAGCTTAGGCGGCAAAATGAGCTGGTTGGACGGCAAAATAAGCTCGAGAACTGAAGATTTTTAAAATAAAAGTTTTTTGAACTGTTTTAGAGGTTTTAGGTAGAAAATACAACTGAATTAAACTAAATTATAGTTAGAACTCTATAAAGTTCACCAAGATACGGCAAGTCTTATAGATGCATACAACTTCTTCCAAATTGTTTCTTGCAATCGAGGGGCAATTTCCGCTCAAAAACTCAAAGCTAGAACTTAGATGTGATTTTTCAGATTCACTTTTCTCAATTTAAAATTTATGTTTAATTCCCTATTTCAACTTATGATCTGGGACGATCGTGCAATTTTTGTTTCTTTTTAGGCTTAAAGTTGTAGCGTTATCAACAGGTTTAATTTTGATGAGAAATTGTTTGATGACATTGAAATTTTTTTTGGCTTACATTCCGTTTAAAATTCGATTTAGGAAAGTAGCAAGGTTTCATTTTTTAGAGTGCCTTAATTCCAATTAATCTGAAAAATGGAAAAATTCAAACCAAAATTGTGACATTTTTGACATTTTTTTGGAAACCAAATTACGACCAATAAGGCTCCAATATGATTTTACACTTATCTTCCTTTAGACTTTTTGTGGTAGTCAAATTTAAGATGAAAAAATAATAGCTAAACCATATATCTTTCCTGTGATCTTCAGTGACGCGATCGGGCCAATAACTTCCAAACAAGTTTTCCTAACTTCGCAACAAAATCTCTAGCGTTGATTATATGGCGTGTGTGATTCGATTCATATATTTAAATTTCAAAAAGGACAATTAAAGATTGCTGGGTGATATGTTACAATAGGTGGTGGTAGTTATGAGAAATGTCTGAGTAGTGCATGTGTTACATTTGAGAGCTCTTATGCATAATAAAGTCCTTTTATTTTCAATCAATGGTACATGCTGCTAAGATAGTTTTGGTATATACGTTACTCAGCCAGGCGAATTGTTGTTCGAAAAAATGAAGTTTTACACTTCTTTTGCCAAAAAATTTGACTATGAAATACATCACATAAACAGTTTGAAGTATAACAAAGAACCATCCAGCTACCCGCACTGAAAGCCCATGGATCATTCTTGATTACAGTGTCGTGATATGGTCAGTATCTATAAATTTCCAAGATAATCAATTATATTTCAATAAAAAGGGACTAAAATCATAATATTTTTCATGTCAGTATAACGCATTACAATCAAAAATTAAAAATGGATCATAATCTTAATATTTATTATGCCAATATAATCCATTATAATCGATTATAATGGATCTTTTCGAGACGTTATTCATGCAATTTACATTTTTAAAAAAAATTATCTGATTTGCTGTTTAGTGCAGTTGCTACGTACGTTTCATAAAATGTTACATTTCACGTTAAACTTTCCCCCTCCCCAGTTTACTTTACCCCCTCCCCAGTTTACTTTACCTTCCCTCCCGTCCCGTTTACTTTGGGGAGGGCGTTAATGATTGACATCCCCAGTTTACCGCCCCCCTCTTTAGTTTTACATCTGTAATGGATTAATTTTGTCTCGGGAATCCATTATAATTGTTTAGACTCCCTTATAATTGGTTAGAATCCATGAAGGCTCGGTGCGGGTGTTTAACTACAATCTGCCACCTATAGTAATATATGACTGGTTCCGGTCGTTGAAGTCAGCGAATAACAAATTTTACGTTGCAAAACTTTCAAAACTAAAAAATAACTTTGGCTTAGAAGTTTTGTAGCAAAAAGTTTATTGCGATTCGCCAAGCAACTAAAAAGCGGCAATGAAGAGGTGACGTCTCCGCCTCTCAATCAAAAGGTCGGATGTTCGAGGCCCACCATGATCCGTGCTCGTTGTTTGAGGGTGTGGCGACATTACCCAGCCCAGAAAAATAGCCAAAAAATTTGCATGAAAATCTTAAGCAGGGACACAACAGCGGTTCTCATTGGTCTTTTCACTTATAGATAAATTGTCTTATTGACGTCAAACGGATATGTCCCGTAGTGGACAAGTGGTCAAGCTTCATGGCGTCAGTTTTTGCGTCATCTAAGTTTTCGGCAGGAATTTTAAGAACTTTCAACAATTTATGTTGCAATGAGTTGACCTTTGACAAATGACCATTTCTGACAACATAAAAATGAAAACTAACTAATTCATCTCGCAAACATCATATAAATGATCAATGTCCACAAATCATATGTTGCGGGGTGGTTTTGGCAAACATATGGTGACAGTTGGATTTTGTTTTTTGTGTATTTAATGACAAAAACAACCTTGTGGATTTCTAATGAAAATTAAATATTTGGCAAATTCACTATTCCAAAAACTGAAATCCAATTCAGCTGCGCTCAAACTGGTTGTGATAAACAAATTTTGTTCAAAATGACATCAAAACTTTTGGTATATTTCGTTGTGAGTCTCCTGATTTGTCTGACAACTGGGTAATTTATTTCAGATTGCTTTTGAAATATGGGTGAAAAAAAACTCTTAAATTTTGGTTTTTAGAAAGCTCAATTACCAGAAGAAATAGCCAGCTGTTAAAATTGAAAAAATATATACAAATTTTCAGCTGACCGTTTCAATTTGTAAAAAAGAAAGAATGTTGGGAAATTGACAAATACTTTTTTAAGAGAAAAGAGGTGGCAAAAATCCAAAAAAACGCTCATGCAATATTTTAAATAGGGCATACTCAATTTTTCAGGTATCAAATATCTCAGTTCCAGCAGAAGAAAGACCATTATGGCCTGATAAAAGACCCACAGCAAGAGAACAATGGAGAGGCGTTTTTCAACCAACGCTTTATCCTGGTTGACGACTACTTCAATGAAAAAAGCGAAGTGGACGAAGGAAAGCAAGTGGAACTCGTGACTTCATCGGGTATAGATCTCGAAGCTCTGCAAAAGCTGGATTTGAGTCAGAAAAACCACACAATTTTTCTCTACACCGGGGGTCCAGGTCCGATTGAGGAGTTCTATAAAAACTCGGGATACGTACTAGAGCTTGCAAAGTACTACGGGGTAAGTAATTGTTCAAACGAGCACAGGTCTCGTAGGAATGTTGGAATCTTACGCGGAAATAATATTCAAGTAGTTGCCTTATAGTCGAGAGATTGGCATAAGAGAGAATTACTGAAACAAAAATGTATGTAAGATCTGAAAAGGAGTGAATCAAAATAGGACGCAGAGCTCCTTTTTTAATTCTTCACTTTTCCGAAAAATTAAAAGACCTCCAAACTGAACAAACATTGCGCCAAACCGTCAACAGATTCAATTAGGAGTAATTCAATAGAATCAACTAGGCAGTCATACATAACCGACGCTTTTCTGTCTAGGCACTGGTGTTTTTCGTGGAGCACCGATTCTACGGAGAGTCACTTCCCTTTGGCGAGTCTAGTTTCGATGAATCGTACCTTCCGTACCTGTCTGTTGATCAAGTAACCGCCGACTACATGTATTTAATCTACTTCTACAAGTACGCTCTGGGAATCTCCGATGCCCAAATAATCACGTTCGGATCTTTCTACGCCGGGAGTTTGGCTTCATACATGAGGTTTAAGTATCCGGATCACATCACAGGAGCGCTGGCCTCTGGAGCGCCCCTCAGGATGGCGGATGAATTCGAAACCCGGTCTACATACTGGGAAACTGTGACTTCCATCTTCAAAGGCGGATCCGAGGTAAGTCGCTTTCTTGGCAGTTCTGATGTTTTTTTAAAGTCTTATTTTTTTCTACCCAAACAATTTCTTAGAGCTTTACAAAAAAGGGCCAGATACTTTCGTTTATTAATAAAAAAGTTTTATTTTTATTAAAAAAAGAGTTTTAGCTAAATTTTAAATCGGAGGTTTAACTAGCAAATTAATCTGCAGCCTATCATCTTAAGAGGCCGCAAAAATTTAATCTTTCCAAAAAAATGTCTGGTAAAAGACCTTATTTGTCTGTAGGATGGAGACAAGGTGGTAGCTCTGGTCGAGTCTGGTTTCGACACTTTGCACGAGTTGTCGACGTGGAGCCCCCGCTCGCAGGGATATGCTCAAATCACCACCCTGATGAACACATGCGAACCTGTGAACGACAGCAACTACCAAGACCTTCTGAAGATAATCAGGAACTCGTTCGCTCAGCTCGCATTGCTCAACTACCCCTTTCCCGCTAACGGGTTCCCTGCCAACACCGTAAAAGTGGCATCGGGAATTGTTTACGACGCCCCCAGGGACGTCGATGCATTGCATGATGTAGTGGCATTCTACTATGGGACGGACAAGGATGACTGTATTGACATCGAGGATCCGATAATTAACTGTGCTGACCCGACTGGATGTTACAATGGTACTCGTGGAGTTGCTTGGGACTTCCAACTTTGCTGGGAGTACTTGCCAGGCAAGTTCCTAGAGCTAGAAAGCCGATTCCATTTCATCTAATCATTCCTAATCAATCTTTCTAACAAAAAAAAAGATTTTTTTTTCACTTCCTAAATAATTACCATTATTAAGATCCTTAAGCTGAGGCGGAATCATTTTTTTTACGAATTTCAACAAAATAAACAAATCCAATCAAAACGTCGAATAAATCCTTGTTCCAGAAATCGGAAGCTCTATTGACAACTCCATGTTTGCGAACCTTCCGTGGACAAAGGAGGACCTGGACGCCTATTGCGGATCGCTATTCAGTGGACTCCCAGAAGGAGGCAGATACCAGTGGTTCAAGATCAACTATTGGGGATCTAAAGTTTTCTCGGCCTCGAACGTCATCTGGACCAACGGACAACTGGATCCGTGGTTCGGAACCGGAATAATCACCAACAGTTCCACTCCTTATTTGAACACCTTGAGTGCCATTCCAGGAGCTTCACATGGTCTGGATTTGATGACGCCGGTTGAGGGCGACGGAATGGGAAAATACCGGGAGATGGAACTCGAGCTTATTGGACAGATTTTGGACGGGACTTTTCCTTCTTCTTAATTGAGCAGAAATTTCTTGAACAGCGAAGAAAAACTGATGCTCTGCTCCTTTAATAAATCAAATAATTATCTAATAATATCAATTTAAACTTGAATTAATTTTTCTGTAGTTTTAATTTTTACTGTGAGTTTCGGCTGTGAATGTATCTTCAGTTGTGATAGGTATTCACAACCATTTCGCCCCTCACACATTTCGCCCCTCGTGAATTTATTGCCACATTTCACCCCACACACATTTCGCCCCCACACATTTCGCCCCTTAAATTGTTTACTAAAAAAGCGGCGGTTAGTTAACTGTGTAGTTAGTTAGGGGCGAAATCTGCTAGGGGCGAAATGTGCCACTACATTTAAGAGGGGCGAAATATGCGTGGGGTGAAACGTGGGACATTTGTCGTGATACACCTCGTACGCACCATGAGTAGCGGTGATGGTTGGGAAATACAGATTGAAAACGTCATATTTTCATTTGGTGATATCTATCGGAACGCGATCCTAAGAATCAAGGGTTGACCAAAACCACTGTAAAACTAGAAGTCACGTCTTCAGCATAGATGCAACTGTGGAATTGCTGCAACTTCCGAAAGAAAGTTTAAACATAAAATCTGAGATACAAAATTTCAGCGTTTTTGCGTGATTTTAAGCACTGGCTGCCAATGCTGCCAGAGTATGGCTTAACTATGGCGTTAAAGTAGTGACTGACTGACCTTGGCCTCGTTCTCGACGTTGGTGGACTCCTCCTCGTACGAGAGGGTGACGACCGCGAGCATGAGATTGATGAGATAGAAAGAGCCGAAGAAGACGAGGATGATGAAAAACAACACATTCCAGGGACCAGCCGACATCAGAATCTGTTACAACATACGCATATTTATTACGAGCTCAAACAATGGAAAAATCACAACATCAAAACCAATAGCCCTCCTTTAAGTAACCAAAAATAACAAATGGTATTCTCGTTCGTCAGCCTTGGGTCCGCTGTCAATTCGAGTTTTACAGTTTTAACAGTTAGGCAAGTTCGAAATTCTGTATTTATATCTTAAGAAAGCACTTAATAATATTTATAGTTATTAAATTGCGTTTCGGGTTGACTTTTTGAGAGTGGCCCCCTCATCTAGCAGACTGATATAAGCAAGACTATACTACACTACATGTATTGAGGTGTGGGGGGGGGGGGGGTTTAATGACTCACTAGGTCGTATAAGTTCTCCCAGTAGTCGAGGGTGATGAGTTGGAAGGAGGAGACCAGGGACCATCCGATGTGGTCGAACGAGGTGTAGCCCCAGTTGGGGTTGGGGCCCACAGCTAGACACGTGTGGCCCACGTCACACTCCCTACACAAGGTCACAACAATTCAAATTAATTAAGATCGGACAAGAGAATTAAACAAAATTATTTAGGCGCAAAACAACAAATCAAACATATTAATCGAAATCACACTTTGATTAGATAAAAAAACAGGGGTAGTTGGTTTTAACGATGGTCATTTATAAATATGCCCCTCTATCTACAAAATAACACTGAATCAGCGATGATTATCTATGGAAGAATAACCCGGCAACAAAGTTACTTTAAAAAGAAAATTGTAATTATTTATTTGTTCGTTTTTAGTTCTACTCTGTGGGGTTTTCAATTTTTCAACAGTTCTATTGAATTAAATTAGATGCAACTTTTCTGAACAAAGTGAAAAACCAGTCCGTAAAAAACACCCTGCATAAACACTACTACACACAATTTAGAGCACACAATTTATGGAAACAAGAATGATTCGAAATAACACGACAAGGACTTCGAAGAAAGGAAACTACTTCAGCTTGGTCGTCTTCATGATCAACATATGAGAATCATTGAAGAAAATGGTGAGTTAAAAATGCGTGAGTGAACAACTAGATACAGCAACAATCCATTCGGTGACTAATTATAAGCGATCTTTTTAACTACCCCCCCCCCCTGGGGAATTCGTTTTACTGTGCTGAAAATCTGCATATGCTTAACCTTTGAAATAGGCCTTTAAAGAATTTGTGTTTACCAGGGGGGGGGGGGGGGGGGGGTTGCTGGTTAAAGAGATCCATTATAAGTGAGGTTATGATAAAGTGAGTATCTGATTAGCAAAATGGGGGTGATTATTGGTTAGTGAGGCCGTTTTTTTCTTGCTGGTCCTAGGTGATTGTGCAAACATCCGCAAGACATTGTAAACTAATAATGCCGTAATTAAAACACTGCCGGTATTTTAACTTTGACAACATAAGGCAAGTATTTTGATTTTGAAATAGAAACTTAAAGACCACGAAATGTGAACAACTATTTCTTCTTAGATCTTTGTATGTCAGATCTCCTTTTAGCTGCATTTTCCAACTATTTTTTTTTTGAAAATTTTTGAGTTTTCGGACGTTTAAACTATCGGATGTTTGCACAGTAGTCCGTGATCTAGTGCAGCCTACCCGGTGTAGCTGGTGTTGCCACAGACTAAGTATGTCTCGTCGAAAGACATGTGTATCTGCCAATTGTCTAAAATACATTCAGAGCTCAATCGTTTGCAGAAAACAAAACTTTCACAAATTTAAATAAAAAGGATGATGCAGTCATCACGGGTTTTAAAAAGCACATATTATATACTCAATTGAATCTCGGAGTTTGATTCATTGATGCATTCAGTGTGAAAAGCGAACTCTTCCTCCTTTCGCTCCTTTCACGCTCAATATCTTTCGAATGATTTTTAAAAGTTTCGTCAAACTTGGCTAGTTAAAAAGTCGAAATTTGTCTGAAGAAAACAAAAAACCACTTTGAGCACAAATATTCCATTACTATGGTTACGAAAGTCAGAACAATTAAACAATTAGATAGACAATCTATATTAAGTTCTTTGAAGCTAACCAAGTGGTAATTTGAACCAGGCTGCTCGTTTGTCAGGGCAAAGCCCTGAAAACTCCAACTGCACTTAAGGCCAAATAAAAAGTTTAAAAAGTTTTTTTTGGTGGTTGAGTAATTGACAAAATAATTGAGAAAAAAAAACAATTTTTTCTTTCATTTTCTTCTTCATTTTATCACCCCACACGCTAAGCAAAATACTAATGGTATGTTTGACTTCTCGTATTGTAATACTAAATTTAAATTGCTGGCCTCAATTCAATTTAGAACGAATTACCTTGTTTCTTTTTGGCTTAAAAGAGCGCAAAATATCGCACAGTAATTATCCCAAATTGCATATGCTAGCAATTTTTAAACCCCCGTAACTTCGCGAAAAATAGTCACAAGTAAAGTAGCATTTTTTTCTCATTTGAGTTCAAGAAAACAATATTTTTCCAGATGCTATAAAAATTCGTCAAAAATTCTTAGAAGAAACATTGGGCTTTTTCTTCAAAATTCGGAGCAATAAAATAGTTTCGACTTTTACGATAATCAGATTTGGTTTGATTGTTAACCCTTTGCCCAGTGACACGAAATCTTGAGTCACACTTCATATTTTAGCTAAACTTAGCATAGTTTTTGAAAACTTCGGACCAGAAATCAGATTGAAATGAATAATTCTAGAAAATCCTTACATCATTCAAACATTTCATAGAGGAGTTCTAGTCAGAGTTCATATTACTTTCACCACAGTTTCATGGGTAAAAATTGATTATAAAGAGTTTCCGTTGTCTAAAATGTTGTCTAAGTAATCGATTATTTTTGAAAAACAAACATCAGTTATAATCAATTATAATCAATTATAGTGAGTTATAATTAGGTTTTGTTTTCTAAGTAATCAATAATAGTGATTTTTCCACGCCCCCTTCCCACGCATCAATTTTCCCATGTCCTTGGTTCTTTTACGTGTTCTTATGGCTGAATGCGTCATATATCGAGGTAAGGTATGAAGAATAAATGTGTTCACAATAGTTAAGTTGTTCATCCTGCAAAATTTTATTTTAATATGACAGCTTTAAAACAGTTTTTCAAAAATGAAATTCAAATGTGGGGGGGGGGGGGGGGTGGAAAAGAGCCCAAAAATTTTGTTCATGAAATCTATGTAAATCGAATTATTGTTGTAGATAGTGAAATGTTTAGTCAACTTTTTGCACTGCACAAATCGAATTCCACTAGCCCCGCGTCCCCCTGCCCCGAATTGAATTGATTATATCTATGAAACTCAAGTGCGGGTAGTTTTTAACTATATCTCGTCACAACTAAAAAAAATTGTGAGGCACGGGAATCACCAATGACGCCATTGAATAGTTTCAAAGAGTGAACTTCCATATTTAAGTTTCGTGGAATAGTGCCGAAGGCGTGGATGAGCTCCTTTCCCGCTGAATCTGATGCATATTTGGCAAGTTCGTCATAGTCAAAACTTTTGTACGATATTTGCTAGCGGTAAAGAACATTTTCACTTATAGGTATTTTTACAAACTAAAAAAAGCTTCTTAATTTTTTTTGTTATATATGGGATAGTACGCCATTACACGTAAGACATATGATTATAAAGAGAGCTTCAGGGATGTGAAAATATTGAGCTTCCATTGCATGATTTGATTACGATCATTACTGCAGGTAAATAACGCTCCGCAATGACACTTCTTTAAGATTTATATTTTAGTTAATGTTCTGCTATGGCTCATCTTGCTTGTCATTCACGCTTCTTATTTTCAATCAATTCTGTTGTTTCAACAATCTGGTAAAGACAGGTGAATATGGTAGAAAAGCTATTTTGAACGCTTCAAACAAAAACAGTGACTTTTCATGCACTTTAACAGTATAATTTACAACTATCAGGCCAATTTGGTTTGAGTTAACGCAAGCACGCCAAAAAATTTTATATATGTGTGAAAGTTGAAAGAAAAAGAACAGCTAATTTTACGGAAAAAAAAACAAAAAATAGAGATTTATTTGAACTCATAAAATTAAAATATGACAACACAGAGATCAAGAGAAAAACATGAAAATTGATAGCGTAAATTTTCCTTCCTTCATTACCTATAAAAATGATGAATGTTTCATGGAACTTTTTTAAGAAAAAAAACGCAATTTTCAATTGTAAAAACTGTGTCCGAGATATAGAAAAAAGGTATATCTGAGGTATATAGGTATTGAAAAAAAAATTAGCAATTTTTGCGATTTTTCTATTTTTATCATAGACAAAATGGAAATGAGCAGTGCAGAGACAAACACAGAAAATTCTACCAAAAAATCTCAAACAATTCATCCGAAGACAATTCGGCCGAAGACAGTTCGGACAATTTATATTAAAGAGACCTGCTCAAATGAAAACTTAATAGTTTTTGTGAAACATCAAAACTATTCATCAAAAATCAAAACGAAACTACATAGTCATTTTTTTTAAGTTTGTGTAATTAGATCCCATTGCTAATTAGCAATAGGGGAGGTTGATTGTGTTAAGATACAATCTAATTGTAGAATTTAGGTCTTAGAAACTGCGCTTGATTAAGTTGAACAAGGATTCAGTTGCAACTTGTATTTCTTCTTGAAAAGCTTAATTATAATAAATTTCATGAAAAACAATTATCCCAATTACACGATAAGCGACTGCACGCACCCCCGTCAATAACATAATAGTAGTAGGAAGGTGTCTTTATGGTCAGTAAATTCAGTAAACGGTCATCAACACTTTAACTGATAAAATTTTTTGCAGCCCGTAAAAAACCGGTTTTGCGTCTGGTATTATGATATTTGATCAGTTTTCAATTTTTTGTTTTCAAGTTGATTCCATTGAAACATATTAGATTAAATCATTTAATTGCTTTTTAGATGATTTGAAGTTGATTTGCTTTATGTGCACTTGAAACAAAGTGTTATGAAGCAACCAATTATAGCTATCGTTCGGCACTTTGAAAAAATAGAAAATGAATTTAAGTTTTTGGCAATTCATGACATCTACAGGAAAACAATAAATACAAGATTTAAAACAAGACTGCTGTTCTCAGGACAAAGCCCTGCATGTTCCCGACTGCCCTTTAATTGGTCTCGGATAATTTGGTAAAATTAAATATTGACAAAACAGAACTTTAGGCTGTTAATATCAAAAACAAAAAATTAGTCGCGTATTGATTCGGCTAGCCACATGCAGATCAAGAAATCGATTTCCCGAAAGAAGAGTTTTGTAAAAGTTTTCTGAATAAAAAAAACCACCCCGAGCATAAATTCATACCTCACTTTCCTTGAAAGTCGGAACAAAAATATGTATTTATTGGTCCGACTGTAGATGGTTTTCTTCATTGTTGTTCTCTACAGACACATTTTGACCCTTCAATTTTTCCCTTTTGGAAACAAACTGTTGTCCGAATTGCGTTGATGCATTTTTGCAAAAATTGGGCATGAATATGGCATACTTTTAACTAGTTTGGGGTAACAATCTCGCGTTATTCACCACTAAAGTTTATTGCCAAAGTTAGATGCAAATTAAACCGACTAAAACGTTCCAATTTTAATTTAGTTAAGATGACTGATTAGATAACACGTAACAACAGGAAAAATATTTTATTTAGTACTGAAAAGTGCGTGTTGTAGCGCCGAAAAAAGTTGGTCTACCCTGAAACTTTTGTCGTTTCGAACTTTGAAAATTATCAGTTTTGTATCAAAAACTATTTCAAAATAGTGCAGGCGGGCGGGAAATTCAACATTTTGCCCTAATGTTAGCTTTTTTTATTGAATTATCTGAATAGTAATAACTGCTTAATTTAATGCTTTTTCTCTTTTGACAATTCTAAATTTCCTGATTGATAAAAAAGAGTAGATTTTTTAAGTATTGACTTTTTAAGGGTCTCCCCATTCAAAATACTTCCTTAAAGAAAAAGATTGTTAACCAGATGAAAATTATCAAACGAATTAGAGTAAGTTTTGACTGTTTTATAGCAAAAAAGGATGTAGTTGATTTTCAGTTTAATCGTCGTGGATTTTTTCCCAAACGAAGTATGAGTGCCACCTGACATGTGAGTTCATTTCTAGTTCAAATTTTTTAAGAGAAAGAATTTTCAACGTTTCAAATATTCACGTTTCAAACAGAAATAGACGGTTACTCTGCCAGCAGCACAGAATCTTCGGGACAAAGTTTTGAAGAAATACATTAAAAAGTTCAAATTTGTCTCGTTTTTCTACGCGGTATGATAGAAAGAAATAAAAAAACTGGAGTTTAGGAATATTTGACAGTCATAGTAGAATAGGCAAATACAAATACAAGTTTTGCAGAAAAAAATTTCTAGAAAACCAAAAAAAATAGTTTTTTTAAAATAAATTTCAAAAATTTTTTTTAAGTTTTGAAAAAATCTATGAAATTTTGAAATTTTTGATTCCGAAGTGGCGTTAACAAAATTCAAAAACTAAATTTACTCGGGTAAATTTAAGATAAAGCACAGTAAATTTAATGTAAACAGTTCAAGTTAAGCATAAATATACCTGCTCGCTCGCTTTATTTGCTCGAAATTAGAAAAAATGGGTTTTTCTTGAAACTGAGAATTCTTCCAATTCAAGATTGAAACAGTTTTAATTTGATTTATTCCGTGACCATTCCGACGATTATTTGTGTCACCTGATTTTGCGTGAAAAACAAAAAAACAGAGAAGCAAAAAGGCACTCCCCGAAAACACACCCCGAATACAAAGTTTCTGCCCATTTTCAAAGGTTGGTACAAAAACGTACTAGGCTGTGCATGACAAATTTTTTTGATGTGCGCAAAGTCTTTTTTGACCGTATTTAACTGTTTTTTGACCGCGCTTGAAAATATGTTTTGAATCTTCACTGAAACAAACAGTCTCTTGTACTCGTTTTAGAATAGTTTTAGGTTAAAACTATCTTTTGTAACTGCTTTGAAACGCCAAACTTAAAATAAAATTTTTTCTTTTGGCTACTTTTACGGAACATTTTTGGATAAAAATTTTTCGAAAAAATGCAAACAGTGCAGATTTTTTTTTCCGGATTTTTTAAAATAACTTCAAAAGAGTATTATATAAGGCATTCTTGTTAATGAAGCAATTTTATATAAAAAGTTGAGCTTAACGCAAGCTTAACGTACACCATCTAACCAAATTTGATGCATTGAAGCTCAAATTCAAAAAAAATGCTTTCACTTTTTATCATTTTTTTTTGGAAAATTATGCAGGTTTGAAAAGATACAATGTGGTAATTTTAGAAAAATTAATGTGCAATTAATTCGTGCTCTTAACGAATAGGCGGCAAATTAAATTTCAAAATTGAATTAGGGCAAGTTTTTTGGACTTATTGCTTCGTTACTAGATGTTAAATACTTAATTTTTTTTTTCATGATGTGGATGATTTTTTTCCGATCATTGCAAATGGGGAGGAACTTTAAATTCGGATATGCCTAAGTATTTTTATTTTTTTCGAATTCCACGCAAAATCAGGTGCCACAAAAATCAATGGAATAGGTCAAAGGATATATCATTTTAAAGACGTTTCAGTCATAATTCAGTTTCGAAGAAAAACCGATTGAAAAGTTTGATTTTTGGTCTAATTTTGAACAAATAAGGTGAGCGAGCAGGCTTACTTGTTTTTTTGAACCAAAAGCATTTACCGCAAATAATCATTATAATGATTGGAAGGAATTACCTTATTAAAACGCTTTAATTCATGGTTCTCAGAGTTGTCTCAGGTTGTCTCAGTTTCGAGAAAAACCGGTAAGAAATTTTTAAAATTTAGTCTAAATTTGAGTTCGTAAAGCAATTTTTTCCTGTTAAATGATAGTTTTCTTAGATTAGCTTGTATAAAAAAAAGTTAGCAAATAAAATTGTCGCCGAAATTTTCTTTACTGCTTGCAAAGTAACCTGTTTCTCCTTTTTTCACTTATTATTATTATAATTCTGAGCTACTGATGTATGAACGGATATCATTTCATGCGACGAACGAAATCCCCAACTTAAACCTCAGTGCCGTATGTGCTATTTCCTTGTGATTGAAAAAGCAAGAACCTATTCAAAATGAGGAAACATTTATTGAAATCCGTTGATTACTCACCAGGGTTATTGGTGTGATTAAAGTAATCTTCATTCGAGATATTTGATGGCCAGTTGAGCACGCATTTGTTGCGCAGTACCCCCATGTATAATTGCAGACCGAGGAGAGAGGCCACACAAAGACCGAAGACCATGAGGACCATGACCTCTAGCAGCATCTTCAGTGCATTTATTAGTGCATTCACTATCGTTCTCAGACCTAAAAGAGGAACACACAAAACATTGCACGTAAGAAAGAGCTCGTAAGTTTGAGGTAGAAAAAAAACTTCGCATGTATATTTATAAATTGACAGTTTTCGAGCTGATTTAATTATAAATTTTATGAAAACGCATATAATTCAGAAAGAAGATTGTCATAAAATTTTTTAACAAGAATTGTAACTTTTTAGGACTGCAAAAGAGATTGAATGTGCTGTCTTAGAGAAAAAAAAACAATTCCAGCGCAACCAGCATCTTCAACGCATTTATCAGTGCATTCACTATCGTCCTCAGACGATAGCAAGTCAACATTTTATAAATGAGGACGAAAAAAGCGCTGTCAAATTCAAATGAGAGCTTTTACTCACACATGAGTAAATTTTGCTCACTTGAAAAGTTTTGTCAAATTTTTTTGTCAAAATTTAGTCAAAATTTTGCGAAGCAAGAATCACCAAAAAAAGAACGAACACCAAAATCTAGGCAATGGCAATTTTTTGAAGTTATATATAAATTTTTGCAAGTTTTAGCAATAGAAACCATATTTGAACAGATCGTATGAATGAGTTTTCAACAAATTTCAAGGCTGAACATACATTTTTTCAACGTGTTTTTAAACGTGAAGTATTAATTCAACACTAATAAAAAAAGTTCGATTGAAAATTTGGGTCAGACATGTGAGAAACTGTCTACGGTCAAAAAATACAGAAACACTCAGAAGTTCAGCTAGTCAATCCGTGTATAAATGGCGGCTTTTAGGATGAATTTCGACTAATACATTTTTTTACCTACCGTCAATTTGTACTAAGGGTGTTAAGGTGCATAATTCAGGTGCGGATCTAGGATTTTCTCGAGGGGGGAACTCAAAGAAAAATCAAAATTGTTGTCGGCATTATTTTATGCCGACGAAATTGATTTTCCGAGCGCTCCCAGAAGACTATACCGACTCTATTTACACAAATCTTTCTGTGACGCAGACAATTTGTTGAAAAATTGGTCAAAATGCTATATTTAGCACTTTTTAAAATTTGTTGACCAAAAAGTCGCGTTTTTTTCCCTTCAAAATTATTTTGTATTGGCGTCAAAGGTGCCTTTAGAAAAAAATAGGGTTGATCGCCGAAAATGGATGTCATCAAAAAGGGACCCACCCCCTAAATCCGCCAATGGCATACTTCAATGATGAAAAAAGAAATTTTCAAAGAATGCTGAAAAAACTTCAACGCTATTTTGCGGCACGAAAAGAAAAATTTATTCCGTTCACTTTTGAACCAAGCCAATGACCGCTGATTAACTACTTGGAGATATATTTTACCTGGAATGATTGATATTGTCTTGAGAGCCCTTAGCACCCTGAAGGTCCTCAAAGCGGCCACATTGAAGGAGAAGTTGGGATTGGCGCGTGTCGTCTCCAGAACAATAATCACATATCTATAAGCAAAACAATATTAAAGTGAGAAATGTCAGAGAAACAGAAGTCATCAACAAACCAAAGGTCAGTGACATTCTAAAAAAAGGTACACAGAACGGCAATAATGATTGGCTGACAAATTTTTTGGAAGAATTTTGAAAATGTTGCTCTCAAATATAAATGAAGTTTCAAATGACCCTGAAAAATGAAACTTTTCGATCAAAAAATCCCAAAAGCACCCGGGTACATGAATAAACGCAGAGTTCAAAATAAAATGGAACGTTAGCGCTTAGATCATCTGCATTATGTTTTACCAGCGGCGTGAAATTTTAGGGAACAGCGAGTTTATAAAAGCTGTAATGTCATGTAAGATCATTGATGATATATCAGCACAGATGGCAGATTCAAATTAAATAGCTGGATTGTTTTTTCTTATACTTCGGATTTTAGTAATCTACACTAGTGGACAAAATGAACAGCATATCTATGCTTTTATCTCTGAGAGGTGTATTTTTATCGACAATTTGGGACAACATTTACTTTGAATTTAATCAAACTTTTTGCACCACCGACTAACAGCACGACCTGAAAAAGTTTCTCTGAAGTCTCAGGTTGTGATTTGAAACACTTAGGAGTGTTTTTTGGGTCTGAACATCCAGTCATCACCATTTGTAGTAAGTTTGTTTTCCAACGGTGTTAAATTATCAGAAACAAAAGAAACAAGACTGCTCGTATCAGGGCGAGGCCCTGAATGTTCCGACTGCCTTTTAAGGTTTTATGGAGCAGTAATAACATCAAAAACTAAATGTAATAAAAATAAAATGAAAATTTTTTTTTCTAAAATTTGAAATTTTTTATGAAAATCATCACCCCACACGCCATATAAAGTACGAAAAGATAGGTTACGCTCCTTGTAACAAATCAATTATGGCAAATAAGCTTCTTTCAACCAATTTGGAACAATTTTAAGACGGATTAACTCTCCGCTTACGCGTTAATATATCGCGAGTTAATTGTCCCAAATTGGCCAAAATGGCAATCTTTAAACCCCCATAACTTTACGAAAAAGGATCACAGGTAAAATATCTTTTCGAATTTGAATTCAGGACAACAATAGCTTTCGAATGATATAAAATTATTCCGTCAAAAATGGCTAGTTAAGAAGTCGAAATTCGTCTGAAGAAAAAAAAACCCACCCCGAGCACAAATATTCCGTTACTTTCGTATCGAAAGTCGGAACAATGAGGAAAGTGATCACACTGATTGGCAATGCAATTTTCTTGTTCAATTGATTTTTTTTTCATCACATTCCATCTAGCAGAACATTGTCTTATAGTAGAAAAAATTCAGCGGAAATTCAATTTTTTGATCTTTAAAATGCTAGTGTTCAATATCCACTTTTGAAAACATTAAATTCGATTAATCATCAAAGTTTTACATAGACCAGAGCTAATAATCAGAGCTACCATTTATGAAAAGTTTAAAACTCAAAAGTATCGCAAAAACAAGCAATGAGTACTATTCAAAAGAAAAAATTGATGGAAAAAAATTTAAAAAATAATTTACCCAAAATGAAACAAAAACAAAGCTCTTGAAATTTTATTTCAAGAACAAAACGATTGTAGATCTTCTTACTTAACAATAAAAAATTCTATTGAAAATTCAAATAAAAAACAATTTGTTAAAAAATCACAAATACATTTATAAGCGAAATTCTCAAAAGTTTAGATTAATAATGAAATTAAACATGCAATAGTTATTTACATCTTCATTATTTTGGTAAATCTTTGAAATGATTTTTAGTACTCTCATAGAGAGTAGCTTTGATCATTTGCTCTTGGGCCATTTGAAAACTTTGCTGAAGTGAATGTTGTCTAAAATGGACATTAAAAACAGGCATTTAAGATATTAAAAGCTTAATTTGCGCTTAATATTGTCATTTTTATGTATATACAAAAACGATCTAAGTAGCATAAGCAATTGACTGATAAAAGAATGAATATATTGTAAGTTATAGTTCTCAAGTTTAAACATACTCTAAATTGTTAGCTCTCAAATTTGCCATCTTTTGCAAAATTTTATAGATCATAACTTTATTTGATGAGATGTTCTATGTGACCAAACTTTTTTTTTGGCTTCTTTTATTTGAGCAAAATTGCACTCCGTAACGTGAAATTTCCTACCGCAGGGCAAATCGTACCGCAGGGGAAATCTACATTTTCAGATCCATAAACCTTACACCCAAAAATGATGCTTCCCTTGTCGATGATACACTAGTGGACAAAACACATCGTAGGTTAAATTTCACTGTCTAAAAAGCATATTTCAATGTCAAGGCATTTTTTGCTGTGAGTTTGTGCAAAAATTTAACAGGGACGAAGAGCAAATGATCTCAGCTCACCTTCTGTGTAAGCTTCAAAAAATGGTTTCAACTATTCGCCAGTTTTTCTACAGGCGCGAATTGTTTTTCGAATAAGCATGGAAAAAAGTTCAGATCTTGTATCATTTTTTGGAACACTTAAAACTGCTCGACAAAAAACTACGGATGGTAAAAGTGGGCTTTCTCAGACCAAAAAAAGCTGGCAATTACTTGAAATCGTTTTTGATACTCTTTACTTCTGGTATTTGCGTTTGGTCCCAAGAAACTTTTGCGCAATTCAATATAAGCGTTTGCCGCAATTGACATTTAAATTGAGCATTTTAGAGAGTAATAGTTTGAATTTGCGTTAATTTTTACCACTAGTGAAGCTAAGGTTACTTGTTTTCATCTGATTCAAAAATTGTTCAAATGGTTCAAGGTAACTGTTATTGTGAACAGAAAATTTGGCATGATTGGCACAGATTTTGTTCAACAGCAGATCATCCTGAAATATGAAAATTTAAAGGAATGCAGTGCATCAGGTTTCTTCATATTAAAAAACTCTCTCCGAAAGCTCTGGAAAGCACTAGTTCAATTCCTGCTAATGATTATAAGAAACTATTAGCAGAGATTGTACTGGTCTTAAGTAACTTTGGCTTAGAACATTTTTAAGCCTCGCTAAAAACCAATCGCAGGTGAGCAAAAAGTTTATCTTGGCCCCCATGATGGACGATTATAGCCATAAAAAGTTGTTCACCTGCATCTCTTAAGCAACTAATTTTTTTTCAAATTAAATATTTTGGGAGAACCGGTAACTATCTTTAGCCAAACTATTCTTTTCTACTCAAATGCGTCCCTTCTACAAAAACTCTCTTAAAACTTAGATCAGCCTTAGTTTTACCCTCAGATATTGTTTTAATTATTGAGCGTTAAAGTAGACAGGTTCGATTATTTAAAATTGAGCAACTCACCCTATCATAACCACAAAAAAGTCTAGAAAGTTCCACGGATCCCGTAAATACGTGTGTTTATGCATCACGAAGCCCCTGGCTAAAATTCTAATTGTCATCTCGACCGTGTAAAAGGCTTGGAAGAAGTATTCGGCTTCTTCCACCGGCTCCTTCAGAGTAAGAAAAACACAATTGGCTAAAATACACAAGATGACCAAGTAATCGAAAAACTCGTTGGTTGCCACATACATCATGAGGCGTCGCAGAGGATGCAAAGGACTCATAAAATTCATCGCATTTGTGGCTGAAAAACGATATATTGTATTTTTACGCATTCTTTTTGAGATAACCACCACCGATTTGTTTTTCATCCGGCTCGGGTCTATTTCCATTATCGGCTTTCCGGCCAGTTCTTTCGGAAACGGTTCGTAGTCGTTCGGTAGTGTTTTGCCCTCCTCCAACTCGGTGTTTGGCTCTAACTCTTGGTGAGTTTCTTTTTGAGCGACTTTTTTCCCTGGCAGTGGGATGCAGCCGCATAGTTTCCGTCTCACGCGGGGTGCGGCGCCGTACTCGTCCAAACTAATCGCCGACTTCTCGAGTTGTTCCCGGATTGACACTTTCGAAGATCGCATTGAATCTTCATCTGGGAGCTCTAGGTGATTGTTGATTGACGAGGGTTTCCGCTGAGTGGGTGTGGGACTCCTGTGGTGATGGTGATGGGCAGATCTGGCTCTTTCGGGAGGGGGAGGAGGGTTGAGGAGTTTCTTCAGCAGCTGGGGGGTGAGTTCCTGGACTAGCACCTGCTGAGAGGACTCCTCGTGTTCTCCCGGTTCCGCATTTGGGTCGTCCATGTTTATGACTGCCGTGAGGTTATTTTTGGTGGCCATTTAGATGAGAAACTGGTAAAAAGTGTCCTCAGAGTCAGGTCCATTCATGCCCCGAGACTGTGACGTCAAACTGAAAATTTTCGTGTCATGATTCTTGCAACTACCGAATAAGCACTTAATTGTTCGAGCGCATAAAGTAAGCTCCTGTAATTGAAGTTAATAGCATATGATCCGAAATCGCAGGAGAGCCACGCCTTGGGTTGATGAGTTTGAGCCTTTTTAGTTCTTTAATTCTGCCAGTTTTTGGGACGAATAATGTATGTCGTTTTTTTTAGTCCGCTGCTTTCGATAAATGCACGCGCGTGGTGCAGTTCATAAATAGAGCAAAAAGCACTTCACTTTTTAAGAGTCTTCGGTAAACGTCAGGAATTAATGATAAAGTAAAATGGCGTATTAAGAACAAGTAACTTAAAAATGAGTTATACGATAAAGGTATATCGTCATACTCATTTTTATTTTTGAATATCTGTTTAGTAAAGCTGATACTCAAACTAACGCCTAATACAGGCCAGTTTTTATGAGTTTTGATTTTATAATAAATGCATCATGACTTTATAACAAATAACAAGATAGTGGTATTCTGTTGTGGTTATCTACAAGTTTAGTAGATGTAATTTGGTCTCAAATTGTTTTTGATCAGAATATTTTTATCCAGAGCAACATCATTATCGAATAATTCGATATGGTTTGAGGAAGAGATTTTTGGTCTAAAATATCTTTGACCGAAGCTCAATTTTTTGTAGGTTGACCAAGTGATGACATAAATTATACCAAATACTACTTTACTAATATAACTTCAGATTTCTAAATAACAAAAACACGGATTGAAATTTGAAATTTGAAAGGCAGGTATTTGATAGCCAGCAGATTAAGTCATTTTTTTCATGCGCGAATTTGCGATGGTTGATGATCAATAAAAATTTCCAAAGCACGTTGTAATTTTCCACCACTTTTTAAAGGTGAATGTTAAATGGATTCGGTCTTTAGTTTTCCATTGATTAGTGGAGCAAATTTACACAGGCAGGACAATTCATAAATAGTGTAGATGCATCAAAAACAACGATGGTGTATTTTGGTAACAAAATCAAAAAGATTGGATACAAACGTGTTGGCGGTGATATATATCATCTAGCCAAAAACGAAACGGAGCCTGATGAAAAAAAAAGAGCTGAAAGAATTTTTGATCACAATTTACAGCATATACTTTAGAAAAATATAAATACAAAGGTGCGGTGCAGAGTTAAATGCTATTCGGTTTGGTTTGCTCAGATAGCATGTTTGAAGCTCGTCTTTTTCTATTCTCTCTTTCTGATCAATCAATCCAAACAATATTATTCTATTTTTTTTTGGATTTTGTTCTGATTTAATCTGGTATATATCAGCAAAAGCAGTCATGTTTCTAGATGTGATATTTGTTAGCCATTAACAATATGTTCAAAATGCACATCAGCTATACCTAAGCAATGGTTTGAGCGTAGCACCGTAAAAACACCTGCAAAATCACTCCATGCGTTTTAGACCTATCCACAACAAACCTCCTTTTTGTTCCATTTTTCCTTCTTTTGAAAAAATTTTCCCCAATTTTTCCCGATGTTTAATCGGATGCAGTGTGCATAATTAGCTGGGAAGCAAAATAAAACATCCAATTTAAGATGCTAGTTTTTCTAGCAAGGTCTTCAGAGTTTGAATAATTAACGAACTCAAAATGTTGCCGATAAAATGCTAGTAGTCAGCTAAACTGTTACATAAGAAAAACCGAAAATCAACTTAAAATTAACTTAAGATTAGTTTTATTTTTATCAAAGCTTAACTACCTTGTATGTTGACCTTGTAATGACAAAATACACTGCATGATTTTTTTGAAGGTTCACTTTGAATTGGGTAGCCGGTACTTGAATTGAAATCAAGTTTTCAAGCAGACCATCTGTGAGGTGAAACTTGCAAAATTTGCAAAATTTGCAATGACGGATGACCGTTCAAAGGAACTGTTTGGAAATTCAATTTATAAACTAAACTTAGTTCTGTACAATAATAGACTAGAGACACAAACTAGATCAAGACAGCTGGTATCAGTGGAAGGCCATGAATGTTACGACTGCACTTTAATGTGTCTGTAGTTTTCATTCAATTCTTAATTGTAAGTGATGAAAGTAGTAAAGACTCTCATATACGTCGTGATGCTTTTTTATTGTTTTTTTTCAAGAAAAATTTTAAAGTTTGGTTATTATCAAATTTGATTTTTGGCGGTTTGATTTCATTTTAAGTTCAGTTCATTTCTTTTGTTAAAAGGAAGGACACGCCACTATGGAAAAGCTTAAGTGTAAAGATCAAGATAAACATAATCATCTCCAATTTTGAAAGTAGATTTTAATTTTCAGATTTCCTAGCGGAATAAAACTTAAACAATTGGTCTAGATTACTCAAATTGCGTTAACGTTAGCAAAAAACTTTCATTAAGAAATGCGCACTTTGAAGTTTTTTTGACAAACAAGTCAATATTCTATTTGCTTTCATTGACTTTTTTCCAGCTGTTTATTGTCAATGCTTTAAAAATTGCCACCCACATGACACCCACAAACAGAAAAAGCTTGCTTTTACTAATAGAAAATCTTGGGTTAATTATCCTGCCTTAGTTCAAGTTTGAATTTTTTCTGTGCAGAGTTAATTTGCTGTGTACCGCATAGTCGTTTTAATAAAAAAAACTAAACCAATTTGGCAGTTTTGAAAAACCACAATTTTACGCAAAAGCAGGGGCAGAGTTGATTTAGGCTTTAGGCGATCACTTTAGTTTCCACAAAAACCCTAAAATGCAGTCTTTTTGAAAAATTAACAAGCCGAAAGCACTTGCAGGACTCGTTTTTGAGCACGTGTAGTACGGTTCTTGCAACATAGACAAAATTTTTGTTTTCGGCATGCGCCCATCTCAAAGTTTGGAGCCAATGGCGTTTTTAGAAAAATTCGAAGTTCGGTTGGCCGAATATCTATGTCGTAAAATAATATCATAAGAAAAAAATTGCGCAGGTGTTGGGTTCTTCCCTAAGCTGCCTATGCGCAAAACAAAAAGGCAGAATAAGTTTTTTAATTTGAATTTTGGCATCAATCTTTTTCAGAGGTTGAAAAAAGTTTGTCGAAAATTTTTAGTTAAAAGTCAGATTAGGTAAACGAAAATGTACAAATTAAAAAATTTTAAGTGGTTACTGCAGACAAAAGCTAGAAACATTGCAAGTTTTACAAAAAGCAGACGAAAACAATTTTTTCGGAAAAAAGAAGCATTTTTTGGTTACAAGGGTTCAAAAACTGTTAAAAACCAATAATGTTCGACGCAAAACAAGTTCTCTAGAAATGCTAGAATAACGATTTTGGTCATTTGTCTCAAAAACTAAAACAAAATAGATGATAAATAACCTACTAATGAAATCTTCGAAGGAAAAAAAATACAAAATCGAGCCCACCATTCGTCGTTCTAATGGAAAGTATGGTTTTTTTTCCTTTTCGCCCCACCTCAGATGAACTTCAATTTTTCCGTGTAACGAGTGGTTTTACGAGCTTAACTATGAAGACCAAATAAGTTTGCCGTGGTCTTATTAGTCTAGATGTCAATTTTCATAACCATCGGACAATGCGGCCAACAAAATTGCTTGTAAGAAATTGCTTGTAAGAAATTGCAGGTGAGGGGCAAAAAAGAAGAGCCGAAAATATTGAATAATTGCAAATGAATTTGACTCAAAAACAACTTTAAAGCAAGGTGAAGTTTTGAGGCTTTTTTGATACAAACAACCAAACAACTAAACAAAGGCTTTTTTCGGCCTCATTATTTGTGGATATAGCACCCGCATATGCACTACCCCACATTTATGACCAATTAAAATCGGATTAGATTTCATGAAAAAAAATTACTTAGAATATGGTTGAAAAAAAGGTTTTTAACGGTTGAAAATGGATTATGAGAGATTGCAAATTAAAACGTTAACACTACTGCGTGTATCAAGTCGAAGCATTGAATGATTTTTTTCGGCTTTTTAAGGTATATGGAGCAGTGATTGTTTCAAAAAATTACTTTTTTGTGATTTTTTTTAAATCGTGCTCGACACGCTAGGTTAAAAACAAAGTGATAATTTTCGCAAATAGCAAAATTTTATCTGGATCATTTAGCATGCCTCTTTTTTTTGAACAATTCGTAAGAATTTTAAATGGAATAAATCTAAGCTAGTGTTTTGAAGGTACCAAAAACATCGCTTGTTCGTTAACCCAATTGACCAAATTTGCCAATCCTAAACCCCCATAATTTCACAAAGAAGGAACACAGTTGAACCATTGTTTTCAATTTGAGCTCAGGACAACAATAAATTGCGGATGATATAAAAACGTCCATTAAAACTAGCTAGTTAAAAAACCTAATTTTATGTGGAGAAAAAATTACCCCGAGCACAAATGATTTGTCGCATTCTTCGAAAGTTAAAGCAATAAACTATTCATATGAAAAATTAATCGGTTGTCCTTTACTTTTTTGAAAGGAATTTTAGATAGAAAACGAAAAAAAATTTTAGTCCATTAATATCCAGTAAATTTAAATAGGGGAGGCTGGTTCACTCACTGCTTAACTTCATAAAAATCTATAATTTGTGTAAAGTCAATTTGTTTTCGATCATGAGTATTTTTCTACCAAAAGTTCAAAAATAGTCAGTTTTATAGATGAATTAGCACGAATAAAAACATTGTGTTTGTACAAAAAACTTATACAAAACAATCCGAGCCAGAAAACCGAAAAATTATGGAATTGAACAAAACAACAGTCCGATAGCAAACAGTCCAAAAAACAATCCTAAGTGATAAGTCTTTTTTAAAAGCCGGTAAGTTGAGAGTTTTTTTTGTTCAAACAGCATAAACGGCAAAACAGTGACCGCCGCAGTCCAATCAAAGTGTTGCGAGCTTTTAAACAGAGTTTAGGCCTCTATACAAATTTAGAGCTGTTTATCCTCACGGAGCAGCGACGAGCGCCGACCGACGCCCTTAAGCCGACAGTCGGCTTTGTAGTTTTTGACGTTTACTATGATATGTATAAGCACCAAAAACACTTTATCAATATTAAGTTCAACCAATTTTTGATAAATTGATAACGCAAAGCAATGAAAAATTTTTAACTGCCTTTTAAGCCGACTAATTTCTCCGTCTTTTTTTGTTATCTTCAGTAAGAAGCTTGCAAAATTTGAAATTCAACTATATGATCTATCATCATTTATTATGCCCATTGTTGTTACAAATAATATTTTATTTGTATTTTCTACTCACATCAAAATGTAGCTCTAAACGCCATTTTCCAATTTTCAATGTTTTGAAAATAGCCCAGTAATCGATGATTACCTATTTGATAGCTGGGTTGAAACTATTAGTTTCAAAATAAAAGCTGATTAATTTTTTCCCATTAACAACCCCCCACATGGACTATGTGAACTATCTTCCCACAACAAACAAAAGACAATTATCAAAAAATGATAGCTAATTACTGTGCAAATAGCACAAAATGTTCCGACCATAGTCTGAAAAAATACATTTTTTTTAAAAATTGGTGTCGTTTTTTGGGTGGTGTGATAGTAAGATCTAAACGAAAAGTTCAAAATTAGGTATATTCGACAACCATAGTCAAATAGGCCAATTGCAAAACAGTTTTTCTAGAAAAATGATTGGAGAATCGAAAAAAGATTCTCATAAAATTTCATGAATTTTCTTTTTTTGCAAAGGTTTTTGAACTTTTGAAGTTTTTGATTCCCAATACCTCAACCCATTCCGATGATTTTCAAATAACTGGGAAAAATAGTTTTTTTTCTAATTTCGTGAAAAAAGCTCGTTTTCACGAAATTAAAAAAAAACTATTTTTTCTAGTTACCTTAAAAAATCCATCTGATAAGTTTTGAATGTTTTCATTTAATGCCACACAAGACACTACTGAAATTTTTGTACGTAATAGGATTATGCTATAAAGTATATGTAATTTATTAAAGACCGCTGCATACCGGGGTTGAGGTTTCGACTTTATCTTTTGACCAGCGCGATCAAAAACGCCTCAATTCGACCAAGTTCGACCGATCCAGACGTGTTTTGACCGGCGGGACCAAAACCAAAAGCGTCTACGTTTTGACCACGTTCGACCATCCAATTTCAGTTTTATCATTTCGACCATATAGGTCCGAACAAAAACTTCAGAAGTAACATTCTCTAAGATAA